AACTGATTCTAAAAGCCTATTTAATTCTATTAAATTAATTATTTATACTCTTAGAAATTTTTGATTAGACGCATCGTTTTTTAGATATTTGCAAAAAAATACAACATCGATTTTGGAATGCTTTCATTAATCGTATGTGCCTATGGAAACAAATAGTAGGTAAAGACAATCTGATAGAAAAACATGTCTAAATATCGAAAGACATTTACGTGAGACAGAAGTATGTAAATAACGGAAATCTGAGGTCAGTTCCTACACCCCAACTAGAAGAACACATTTTGAATTTTGTAGCAGATCGTAGTACTGCTAGTACTGTTAATAGCAACAGTTTAGACATTTCAGAATATATGTAAGGTACGTCTTGGTAAGTCCTACATGAACAGCAATTGTATCTATCCATTTATCGAGAGTACAAGAATTTAAAATTGCTGATCAAAAATTTGTAAGAGTAAAAATAATTTCAAAATTAAATAGGCATTAAGAATCAGTTGGAAAATTTAATGGTTTATGACATAATAAAAAAGTTTTAAGGAAATAACCTTTGTAAACACCTATATAGCATTGATCCCGTGTTTGCATGTTTTCAAAAGTGATCTTAAACGATTTCTTATGATAACATTACACCGTTTGCCAAATTTTATCTTTCTAAGACAAACCATACTGAAAATATTTAAGAAAATGTTTAAAAATTTCTTAACTTTGATATCTTAGCCATTTATGGGTTTAGACCAAAAATTTTTACACGAATCGTCATCATTTTGACTCTAGTGTTTGTGATTAAAATTATGCCACGACTTACAGAAACACCTGTATACTATAAAATTTTTTTATTTAAAATAAGAAAGGTGCAATTGTTTATGGTCAGATCATCACAATTTGATTCCCTGGTTGATAATTTTAATCTTACAGTTAGATGCGGTTCCAAATCCAAAAGTTTGTTCCTTTTTTTCGACTTAAAGTCTACAAATGCTGAAAAAGCAAGTTCACATAGGTTTGAAGTCGAAAAAGGCAAGATGTATTTCAGGACTTTTTCTGTTAAAACACTTCTTCTATTTATAACCAAAATGTTTTGATATCTTATCCACAATATTCATATTTAAATCGGAAAAACATGTGTTACGCGTTTTAGAGCATAAGCATCAATTTTAGTAGCAGTTTAGTAAGTTCAAATAAACGGTTTAGAATTTTTCTTCGAACATCATTTTATCTTACATCCAATTTATTGATACATTTGCGAAAAGTCTCCAGAACTTTTACTGTAGATCAGCGGACATGTTACGTGTATGCAACAATGTGTGGATATGACATTTGGGGCAACATTCTGAATTCTTCATCTTTATTCACTAATACCGTACTTTTTGCTACATATATGATTATTCCAACACATTTATTCCAATGAATTTTGTTCTCTTAAATAAATTTATTCATAACGTTAAAGATGTATTCGATTCATCTATCATCTTTTCTCATACATATATTTTGTATATACATATATTTTGCTCAATTTTTCCTCTTGAATACATATTGATTTACTGTGCTTTGCAAAGTTTTGCCGACATCTTATTACTTACTGCCTTGTTGTTTTGTTTTAGTTCTACACTTGATTTCAATTAAGTTTCAATAACAATTAGGAAAGAGCGATTTTTACTCAATTCGCAACTCAATTCAAATTGAATAGAGTTGATTTTAATCGGGATTTTTATAAGAACTTTTCAACACCATGGAATATTAAAATAAGAATTCGGATACTAATAGATTTTGATTTCAAAAAGATTCTCACATATACTAAAGTACATTTTAAGCTATGTGATGTGTCACCTCTGATGTAACAACTCCTGCCCTAACAATTTAAACAACGCTTGTATTAAATTAAATTCACATGATCATTTTGATAATCAACCCAAGTTATAAAACTGCATAAATTACATTTTCAATTATCATCTAATAGACATTTGTTATTATAATACCGAATCTAACAGATTCTATAATTGTCTAGAATTGTTCATATTATTTTCATTCAATAAGGATTTAGGCACTATGTATAACTCACCTAGATGTTTCAATTTTATTTGAAATCAAAGAATTTTCTTTGACTCATCCTCAAAATATGAGAAATTATTTAGGAATATCGGGTTCAAAAATATTTAAGCACCGAAATGCATGAAATAGAACTTAAAATATATTTTATTTTGAATTCCTCATAATTTGTACAAAATGTCAACCTCGTAAAACAACGTTTTACATGCAATAATGAAAAATTTTATATTAATGACATCGGCTAAGAAATAAAAAAAAATCAACATGCACTTAGTAGACAACCTAAAAGAAACAACCAACAACGGTAATTTCGAATAAACCTTCATCCATAATCCTTTTTTATCTCAAAAAAACCTTTTTAAAACAATCCTAGATTATTTCGAAATTCCAATAATTAATTAAACCTAGGATTGTATTAGATAAATGAAAAGATTTCTTTAAATAAAATTTGGATGTACAATATTATTTACATGACTATCACACTGCAATAAACAAAATCAGCAGCTTATATCTTTTTTTTATTATAAGTTTTAAGAACAAAACCTACCGAATTAAACCAAGTTTATTCTGAACATATTACATGTACAGTTTTTTTTTATTCTTTTTTTAATACCTATTATATACAAAGGGAACTTTTCTTAACATTTTCACTATCCTACAGAATCATCACACTGTCTAAATAGACCCGGCTCACAAACGATTTCCAACGTTACTAAGCGTTTTGTACATTAATTATTACTTTTTATAAATGAAATATAATAGTCGCTTAAGAAAACGTTCGTGGGACGTTATAAATTAAAACAATGGTCGATTGGATTAAAATTGCGCTTGGGTAATGACCGAAAAAATCTATTCAACAAAATGAAAAACCCTCTCTCAACTATTATTAATTATATTCAGTCCATCCCTAGAAGGGTTATTGTTCCTTTTCCATGTCTTATATCTTCATCTTCTTCTTCTTCCTCCTATAAAAATCAATACAAAAATAGAGTTACGTTTTAAAAAAAAATCAAAAAGTACACACAAATGTTTAAATACATACTTATAATTATTAAAATAAAACCTTTGATAAATAAATTAACTTACATCAAAACCAAAACACGTTTCCATATCATGGTCCATTTTCTTCTCATCTTCTTCTTCCTCATCTTCATCTTCTTGTTCCACTTTAGTTGTAACCCTCCTCGCCGATTGAAGAGCTTTTATAACATCTTCATCATGCAAATCTATTTATAACAAAAAAAAATAACTAAATTGTAACACAACACAACAAAAATATAAAAACATACCATGATCTTGAAGAATCCCTTCTCCAAGCATATCACTTTGTCCTTCAACAACCATCGCTTGTTCTTCACCATCCGCAAGTTGAATTACTTCTAACACAACGTATTGTTGTCCATCTGATCCTTCAACAGCCATCATATCGGATTCTTCTTCTTCGTCGTCTGAACCTAATCCCGATCCCATAACTTCAACTTGTTGTCCATCGATCATTTGTATTTTCTTTTGGCGACCCAATTTCAAAGCTAATTGTTTTTCTTGTATACTCGAATCGGGATCGTGAACTGCCATATGACGAATTAAGTTTCCTTTGTGTCTAAATGGTCTATGACATTCTGGACATTCGTGAGTTTTCTCTTTTGGTGTAGGCGGAACATAAAGTGGGTTATGGTATAAGTTCATATGGCGTTTTAATAATTGTTTCTGTCTGAAACTCTGATCGCATTGTTCGCATTGGAACGGTTTCTGATCGGTATGAATCAACATATGGGATTCTAAATGTCTAGCGGAAATAGAAGCGTACGGGCACAAATCGCACTTAAAACATTTCTCACCTTCGTGTGTTTTATTATGCAATTTGTAACTGTAACGATCCGGAAACGATTTTCCACATCTTTTACATTTTAACGGTTTATCTGAAGTGTGTAATTTTTGAACGTGTATCCTCAAATCAGTTTTTCTACCGCAAGTTGTGGGACATAACTCGCATTGAAAAACAGGTTTGTCGCCAACGTTATGAATCAATTTATGAGCTTTTAAACTATTCGATTGTGTAAATCTCGCCTGGCAAATATCGCATTCATATGGCCTTTCCCCAGTATGAATCCTAAGATGTCTTTTCAATTTAAAAGTATCTGGACTCGCATAAGTACAATGCGGACATTGATATGGACGTTCACCAGTATGACATCGAATGTGTCTCTTTAACTTCGATAATTCAACGCTTGCATAATCGCACTCATTACATTTATGTGGTTTTTCATGGGTGTGACGGTAACGAACGTGACGGACAAGTTCACCGGAAGTAGTAAATGCAGCGTCGCAATATTTGCATTGATGCGGTTTGGTACCCGTATGAGTGTTTACGTGATTTTGTAAAGAAGCGACGGTTTTAAAACCACGTTCACAAACGCTGCATTTGTGTGGACGTTCTTCCGAATGCGATTTCATATGGCGCGATAATAAATAACGTTTTGGACTAGTGTAATTGCAATAGTTACACATGTATGGTTGGGAAACGACTTGGGATCGTCTCAGAGGAATTTTTACTATTTTCGATTTGTCGTCTTCGGCTTCTGAATCAACTACGTTTCCTTCTTCATTATCATCAAAGTCATAAACTAAGTTAAAAAAAAAGTTTTTTGTTAAAAATGTGCTTATAATTTTATGAAAAATAATGTAATTAGTACCAGTAATACCCTAAAGAGCTCTAGAATTCTTTGAAGTTTTTAAAAATATTCCTGTTCTTTTTACTAAAATAGTAAAAATAGCGGAACGATACTTTTTAAATTCTTAAAGATACAATTTTTCCATTTTTAAGTTTTATACAGCCAATGTTTTCAACAGATAAATCTCTCTCACGCCTAATAAGTTCTATATAAATCCGTAAGTTAACCTAAATTGTAGAGCTAGGATATATTTTTGGAAAAAATTGACTGAGCATGAACTTGGCCTTTTTATTAATTGCATCTTGATTAGTTAGATGAGTGGTCTATCATTATCTCAAGGTATTATTTTGAAAAGAATGACGAATGTGATTAAAGGATTTGATAAATAATTGTGCACTCTTTAAATATAGAACGTTTTCTGCTTTGATATATATAAATACCTGTTTGTTTTCTTACAATGTATTAAGTTTATTACAAATATTAATTAAAATGGCACTTGACGCCATTCAATGTTTTAAATGTTAACTTAAAACGCTTATTATTTTATATTAATCTTCAAATTATAACTAAGTACATAAACACCTTTGAAAACACTCAGAAAATAATCATTTGATTAAATTCAAGATTAGTAATCAGAAAAATATTAGGATTTTATAAAAACATTTATAAAAAGGTTAAAAATTCTACAAATTGTATTAAAGCACAAACTGAAAAATACTTATACTATACTACAGCACAAAACACCTATATTGTACAACAGCAAAATATAGATATAAAAATATCAATACCATCAATCATTGAACATTTGGCCCAATCAAAAATGTATATAATCAATTTAGATGGAGCTGGAGAGAATATAATAGGGTTAGCAATAAGAAAACAAACACTTATGAGAAATATCCCAACAATATGAGAGAATATCATAAGCCATGCCAAAAAGGTAATTTGAATATATTGAGATCAAAAGGTTGTGTCAAGAGTGGGTATAAAGGAAAAACTGATGACTTAAAAGCTAAAACCAGGACATTTAATTAAAAAGTTATTTATTAAAAGCAACCTAAAAATAGCTGATATGATATTGTCTCAACGCGTCACTCCAATATAAACACCTGCATATAAAATAATGACATCATTTACAAAGTAGGTACGCTCCAGCAAGTTAGATACGATTTTAAGGCACTATATAAACAATAGATATTAAATATAGAAAAACTACAGGAAATAGTGAGTATGTTTGTTAAATACACAGTCTTTTATTTCCAACCAAATCGTTTAATGGTTGAAATTGAAATCGTTGCAATACTCAATCATGTTTTAATTACATAGTCCAGTTTTAAATTGTTGTTTTTGAATTAGTTTAAAAATACATACGTAAGTAATTAACCACAGGGCAGAAAATAATGCAAATGAGCTGACGTAAGAGAATAGTACACAATGAGTAAATTAAATCAAACATACTCTGTAACTGAAGGACAACATAAGCGAGAGTTTAATGTAAAAAGCAAAATCCAAGGAGAGCAGAATGAATTAACTAATAATTTCAATAGGGTTTCCAGAGTGTTATAGATGTTTATTCTGACACTGATAGATTTGTTTATAATTGCTATATAAGTTTTACTGTTGTTGGTTTACTATTAATATAATAAAGTATTGAAGTGAAAATATCTTAGTTATATAAAGTGTTAAATTATAAGAACAGAAATGTTATTAAATTTATAATGATTTTTTTGCATCCTTCTCCCAGTATCATATCTATACAAACTCTCCAAAATGCGTGTACAATGGAAAATCACAGATTCCTTGGCTCAAAATATGTAAGTCGATTTAAGATAAGTTATCTATATCCAAAGTTGCTCCTTAAATTAGTGCCAACTATGATATGGTTTTGTAATTGAAATGACGTAAATAAGGCTTGAAGATATTTAAAAATACCTTTTTTCTGGCTTAACACCACTTACATAATAAAGTTTCAAAACTATGGCAGGATATGTCTATAAATGGGCTATTCAGAAATTATAACAATGTAATTGTCGTTTGACAAGTAAAAAAAAATATAGGGTAATATCCGCTGAAAACATAACTTTTTCATCATTTCTGTGTTTCTAAAATTGTATTGGAAACCATAAAAAGATGTTAATTGAACCTAGGAACTCACTTCTGGAAAATGGTTTAAATTGATTTACGCGTTTTAGAATTATAAATAATAAAGGAATTTATTTTGCTAACTTTGAAATCCTCTAGCGGCGAAACGAAGCAACTTTGGATATAGATAACTTTAATCGACCTATTTTGAGCCAAGGAATCTGTGCTCTTCCATTGTAGACACATGTATATTAAGTTGATTTAGTTTGAGATAACAAAAACGATGATGAAATAGAAGTGCTTAAGTACTAACTCCAACACTTAGCAAGAGACACATACAATAAGTGGAAAATTTTGTTGAATATATTTAATCTAAAAATTCTTTATCCTAGTCATGCAATAACATGAAATCGCAACTTTTACAAATCGGATATTTCAAAGAACCATTTATTGTAGTACAGAACTTAGAAAAATGTTTGAAAAAGGTGCACACTAAAGTTTCAAACTGATACATCCTAATCAGTAAATGTGATTAGTATTGTGATCAGTATTAAAAGGTTTGAGGTTTCATAAATATGTTAATAATGAAATTATAATTTGTCAAAAAATCTACAATTCCTAAAAGTCCTAAAAGAATTTCTTTGGATTTGGCTCATTTATTTTCCCACAACCCTACTAACTTCAGTTTTCTCATTGAAAAAAAACTCATCAGAAAAGATTTTTTTTCGTGATTTACAATACCTCGCATATTCCAACAACATTATAAAATACTAATTATCACTCAAAACTAGAATAACTCACAAAAAATAGAGAAACTGACATTCCATTGAAAGTGTTCAGAACAATCTGGGAGGACAGAATTAAAAAAACTTGAAACGAATATCATCCCATACGTTTTCAAACAGTATGGAAGCTGGATACACATTTAATTCATAAATGTCTTAAAGGAAAATGATTTAATGCTTGAAAAATCAAGAAACCTAAAATCTCAATACAAATTACTCAATGAACAAATCTTTAATCAATACCATATGATGACTTTTCTACTTTCAAATATTTAAGGAAACTAATCAAATAAAAAAAAAAGTTTTAAGTGTTTAATTTCCTCAATTCGGGTTTGTTATCTCTATTCATTTTTTTCGTCTACATTCCATTACAGTGTATTCATACACTTGTTATCATGCTTGTTTAAGTGATTCATATTTATGTCTTATTAAAAAATATCATTTTAAATTATTTGCTCAAGGTCATGTTTTGCAAACAATTTGCTAAGTTAGTTTTTACATTCTTTATACTTTACAGTTTTTTATATTCTAATAAATTCAATAAGATGCTTTATATACAATTTATATAATTTTGTAATACTTTGTAATATTAATGATTTAGTGTTGCAGGTTTTCAACTCTAATAATGGGTTGGTTGTGATTACATCTAAAGCCAGTTTGTAGACTAAATAAAAGACATTAAAAAACATCTACCTACATATTATTAAATTATTTTATCAAGAAAAATTATGTTGTATAAAATGAATTACACTAAAGCTTTTCTGTAATTCTAATTTAGGAAAGTTAATAAAAACGATTTTCAAAAATTGGTCAAATTGTGCTCAAATAAATCCCTATTAATTATATTATTGTTTTTAATTATGATCATTGGGATCATGTAAATATAAACAGGATAACGTTTACAAACACTGGATCGTATAAAAGGGGGCAAAATGGTTTGATGACACACCCAAAGATATGTGACAAATGTTGCCAAAACTTTAGGTGAAGTATGCCTTTATTGGAAATAATGATGAAATTGATGATTTTTGTATTGTGATTTATTTTGAATGCATTTTATGGAGATTACTAAAGAATTTGTTAATAGCTGTTGTTTTAATGTTTACTCAAACGAGTTCATCATCACTTTAGATATAATCATTTTTAGTAAATATTCTAGTAATTAAAATTTCATTGTTCATATCATTAAAATGAAATATGTATATGAATTACATAAATAATAAATAAAGAATAAATTTGAATAACTTAAAATAATCTCCATCTGGCTGCAATTTTTTTGAATATATGAAATAAAATATAATAATGTCTCAATGTGTGACAAAGACATTAATGAAACAGAACAAATCATAAATTTAAGACTACCTATAATCTTTCAATCAAGCATTTTAGAACTCTTGGGTAACTTCTGGTATTCTTAAAATAAATAATTAAGTTAAACAAAAGGAATAATAATATTTTACTCCACTTTATCATATTATTAAATGTCTTACCTGCCATATCCTGTTCACCATCAGTTTGTTCGCCCTCCTTATCATCTGGTTGTTGAACAATAAGAACATAACTTAATTCATTGGAGCTTGTATCAGCAGGAACAACTGTTATTCTTTGGTATGCGTTTCCATTATTAATGAGGATTTGGTTGTTGTCCCCTTCATCTCCAGGCAAACCCTATATTCAAAGCATTCATAAAAACAAGAATAAATTAAATTCATAAAAACAAAACCAATTTTTTTTTCTTTTTTTAACACCCACAATCAACTTTAAATAGTAAAAATGTTAAACTCTTTTATCTATCATTTTTGCAGTCATTTTTATCCTCACAATTTATTAATTCATGAGTATAAATAGATTAAACATTTTACTAGTGAATTTATTATTAATTAAATCGAAAATAGATAAAAAATGAAAAACAAAATTACCTCTTCACCTTCTTCTTCTCCTTCCTCCTCATTTTCATGATTTATAATGAATTCATCGGCCTCCCCACCTTCTGAATCATTAATTCCTGATACCATGGTCATAACTGGTTGAGTTTCTCCTTTTGCTTGATAATAATAATGACCTGCTTGGTCCACAAAATATGTTCCTTCATCACCATCACCTTCATTATCATCTTCGATTTCTAAATTAAATTAAATTTTAATTAATTAGTTTTTTGTTAATGTTTAAAATTAATCTTAAAATACATATTTATATTAAAACAATTTTTTCAATAACTTCTTTCTCTTTTTAAGATCTATGCCTTGTGAGTAGTAAATCTAGTAAGTCTGGGGATCATCAGACTATATCTTTGATGTTGCAGAGTTCTCTGATGTCTTCTTATGCTATGGATTGTAGGGTCCTCATCTCTGCTTTTTGAATGATTCTTTTTGTTGTAGAGTTTTCAGCTTTTGTTTCCATTAAGGGTGCTACTTTACCTTGATTTATTACCAGTTTGCATCTTAACATAACCTAACTCTGACATAACCTAATTTAACTTATTAATGAACTTAAGTTTAATAAAGATAGTTTTTTGATTAAAAGACTTAGAAAATGGGATTTACCTGTAACTTGTGGTGTGGCATTATTATCGGTGCTTTCAATTTCTTTTTGAAATCCCTCGAGATATGATTGTATCTCGGTGACGTTCTCCGAGGAGTCGGTGCCCTCCAGTTTGATTTGAGTTTGTCCAAACTGTGCAGTCATCCTGCACCGGTTTAGAAACTAGGAAGATATAGGTAATTGTGGTTAAAATGAAGTAAAAAAAGAACGTGGGATTGTTTTGAGTGGGTTATAAAGATTTTAGCGAGTTAAAATAGGGAAGCAATGTATATGTATGTACCTTAGATTGGTGATTTTGTAATAAACGGTTCCTTTTCTGGATAAATTAGGGACATTTACGTAGAAGAGCAATTAAGTAAATTACTTAACCGTTTAATGCTGTCTAGTTTCCTGGCTGGGTTATGTTCGGGCGATAAACACGTACAAAAATTGACGTAAAAATTTGATGCCGAAGCGTATAGACGCCATTTTACAAAAATAAGTAGACGCCGTCCGAATATTAGGTTACAATAAAACGTTAACAACATTTTCGTTTTAGTTTCACGTTCGATTTCGTTTCGAATCTTAATTATAAAGACATCCAAGCACTATTCATACTTAACAAAGCTAGATGTAGGGGGCATTTCGACAAAAATTTCAGAAATTAGCACCGTTGGCGCTGTCATCAATATGGAGTCATAGGGAAAGTGGTGTACGACTAAAACGTGATTATTTCACTTAATTGGGGACTTGCACGGGACGAAATCCGCATTGTTTTACCCGGAATCGATGAACGTACGTACGAGGATGAACCGAAATCGTACCGGATCGACGAAAATTTAATAAAACATTTTCAAATCTTACCTTATAACTGCAAGAAGAGGGCGTATCGGGTCGAACAGCGTCTATTATAAAGAACCAGAGATGGCGAAGCCAGCGTCGGTCGTTTAGGGACAGGACAATTGGTAACTGCATGCGCACACTGCGCATGTCTCGATCGTACGGCTTTTTTTGACCTATCCTGACGTTGATAATCGTATTTGCGCGGGAAAGTTCGTTAATAAAAGAATAATAAACAGTTTTTTGGAGGGAAACATAAATCTGTTACTTTTTACTCTTTTTACCTAAACCTAACAGAGAAATGCTTACTTAATAATTAAATTATTATTATTTATTAAGATTTCATTCATTAAATTATCATTTTCAATGACTTTAACAATTAATTTATACTTCAAATAAAATTATTACAATAATAGATAGATGATAATTTAATCATTTTCAAATTAAAAATCATGGCATTAAATTATTACTTCCTCTGTCCGAAAATAATTGCTACATCTGAGTTTAACTTTTGTCCGAGAATAGTAAGTCCGTACAGCTACACCCCCCATTCAAGATATCAGTATTTTGATACTACCATAATTATGTACTAATTTTGTACTACATTAAAAAATTTTGTACTAATCATTTAGTATTTTTTTATATATGTATGTCAAAGTGGGGGGTGTAGCTGAACGTTCAGTTACACCCCCCCTCCATATACAACCTCCCTTTCAAGACATCAGCATTTTGATAGTGCCATAATTTTATACTATTTATGTACTAATTTTGTACTACATTAAAAAATTTTGTACTAATAATTTAGTATATTTTATATATATGTATATCAAAGTGGGGGGTGTAGCTGGACGTCCAGTTACACCACCCTTTTAAGATATTAACATTTTGATAGTGCCATAATTTAGTGCTATTTATGTACTAATTTTGTACTATGTTAAAATTTTTGGTACTAATCATTTAGTATTTTTTTTATACAATTGTCCCAACTGTTTGGTACCCCCTTTTTTCTCTCAAACTATAACTACCACAGATTTAAATGTAGCGATTTGTCATTCCATGGAAAGAGGAAGGAGAAATGCATTTTAAAAAACGCGAATTGTTTAACGCTAAAACAATCTCAAAGTGATGGCAGAAATTTTAGTGTACAGGGTGGGCAAATTTGGGTGTTATTATAGGCTATCTCAGAAACTATAAGAGATACGAAAAAAGTAGGTGCCATGTCCCGGTCTCTTTCTTCGAGACTAATCCAATCCTGCAAACATCAAACCTCTATCTTTTTTCGTGATATCAAAAAATGCTCATATTTCGTTTATTTTTGAAATTAGAGAAATGAGGTTGATACGTTCTTAAGACACTTTTTTCAGTAGAATATACTGCCGTCGAAAAATTTTAAAAATATTTGATGATTTTTGAGATACAACACAAAGTTGTATTTTTTTAAATACAAACTATACTTGGTTATGATGTTAATGAAAAGAGCATATTTTTAGCTTTCCAATGATGTATCGCATGTATGGTGTATTTGCGGAAAATAAGCGTTAATTTTCAATTCCAAAATAGTAAGCGCTAAAGTTCAAAATTTTGATTATAGTAGGCGGGTTCGGACAGTAATTAGTGTAATTACTACCTAACTGCTATATGGTTTTGCACGAATATGACAGAAAGTTGCTCTTGTACCATTATGCTTTAAATAGTTGATTTAAATTTTTCAGTGTCTTATCCCTGACTTTGTTCACCAATAAAATATTATTTGTAGATAAAGTTTGTTTATTAAAAATACAAGAAACGTATTAATTAATGAATAATTAAATATGAACAACAACTTCAGGAACTGAATAATCACAGACTGTGTCATCTTCTTCTACTAAACTTACTGGTTGTGAGGTTAGAACAGTTGGGTATCAATGAATGAAATCTTCGGTAGTATTTTTCCAGTTTTCCCCAATCATGAGATTTACAAGTTTTTTCATATTAGCAACCTTTTCTTTTGAAATTGGGTGAGATAGAGGAAAATTAGGGATCATAAGCTGGGCAGCGGATTTTCCATTGAAACGATGTTTATATGGTATATGGAGCCTTATCTATCATTTTCAAAGAATCGTTTTTTAATTTTATCGCTTTATGTATTTAAAGATAATGAGGAATTTTTAAGCGGGAAACTCGTTTCGAAAAATTCATTAATGAAATGATCAGTAAACTTACCTTACTATAGTAACTAAGTGGCATTTCACGTTTTCCTCGTCTACTATAATTAAAATTTTGAACATTAATTTTAAATATTTTAGAATTAAAAAATAACGCTTATTTTCCCCAAATACACCATGCGTGCAATACATCATTGGAAAGCTAACAATATGCTCTTTTCAGTAACACCATAATCTAGTATAGTTTGTATTTGAAAAATACAATTTTGTGTTGTATCTCAAAAATCATCAAATATTTTTAAAATTTTTCAACGGCAGTATATTCTACTTAAAAAAGTGTCTTAAGAACGTATCAACCCCATTTCTCTAATTTCAAAAATAAACGAAATATGAGCATTTTTTGAAATCACGAAAATTTGGCGTTTTGGCTATAACTTAAAAACAAAAGAAGATAGAGGTTTGGTGTTTGCGGGATTGTGTTAGTCTTGAAAAAAGAGACCGGGACATGGCACCTTTTTTCGTATCTCTTAGTTCTAGTCTTATAGTTTCTGAGATAGCCTATAATAACACTCAAATTTGCCCACCCTGTACATACTTGCGCATTTGATTCTGTCAGTCAGTTGTTTTTAAAGTCATTGAGAAATGAACATACCAGAGGAATTGTTGAAAGTTGGGATAATTGCAATTTTATTATTTGAAATACTTGATTACTACAATTACGTACCTGAAGTTTTCGCTTCAGTGTCAACATTCACTTATTTTTTAAAATTTGAAAATATGTTCAAAATTAGTCTTTAATCAAGCAGGCCTGAACCCCAAAAGATGACAGTTGATTACAGTTGATATCGAAAAAAATTTACATTTTATAAGAGTCGTTTCACCTATCCGGGGGCACACTGTATATAAAAAATATACTAAATGATTAGTACAAAAATTTTTAATGTAGTACAAAATTACGGCACTATCAAAATGCTGATATCTTGATAGAGAGGTTGTATATGGAGGGGGGGTGTAACTGAACGTTCAGCACACCCCCCACTTTGACATATATAAAAAAAATACTAAATGATTAGTACAACATTTTTTAATGTAGTACAAAATTAGCACATAAATAGTACATAATTATGACAGTATCAAAATGCTGATATCTTGAATGGGGGGTGTAGCTGTACGGACCTGAGAATAGTTGCTACACTTTGTTTTATTTTAAAGAAACTCAAGAAATAAAGATGTAGAAAGCAAAACTATATTACTTATTTAAATTGAAAATACAAAAAAAAATAACAACTATTTATTTGTAATACTTAATTACTTCTATTATTTAAATATTCTTGAGCCATTTTAATAGCATTTTCATCGCATTTAATAGACAATAAAGTCGAATTAGAGTGATTGCGTCTTAATTTCATTTTGTTTAGGTGTTTTAATTTATAACTATTACACCCTTTATGTAATAATGTACGCTCCATTGCTTTTTGCAGTGAAATAAATACATTATCTAAAGTTTCTCTGCTTATACTCCAGTAGGATTTTTTCACTGCTTCAATTAATTCCAATTAATTAAGTAGTTGATGCTGAACTGATTGAATGGAATTGAAAAAACCTAAATCCAACACATTCAAATCGGGACTGTTGGGTGGTTGCAGTTTAATAGTTAGTGACGAATCGTTACTGTACAAATGTGGCTTTGCATTATCTTGTTGAATGTTTATTGTGTTTTTCTTAGAACCAACAGACCACTTGTCCCGTATTGCAGGAATTAAATTATGAAGAATCATTTTCCTTATTTCTTCTTTGTTAACAACTTCCACAGCTTTGGTTACGAAAGTTCCCTTTGGTCGATTCTTGCTGTTTCTCTTAGCTAGAGAAGAAGATGCAATGGCCAAATTCCTAACTTTCCATCAAAATACGCTTTTCTATGAAAATCCCAACGTGGACGAGCAACTGCCGCCATAAACATTACCTTTGTAATAAATCTTTTACTCTTACAAGGTCTATGAGGCTGTTCTTCTTTGGGATTTATATAAAAGCTTCTTTTAGTTTTGGTTATATAGAACCATTTTTCGTCAATATGTATGTAATTCAGCAAATCAAAAATGACGGTAATAAAAACTTTAAACAAAATTCAATTCGTCGCTTTTTATTTTCTTCAGTTAACAATGGTTTAACAAAACTAGTGATTATTTTTATTTCCTTTCCTTTCTTTAATCTGTCATGCAATGTACTTTTTGGTACCTTACATGCGTAAGCTAATGACCTTAATGTAGTTCGTTTATACAAAGGAAGAGAAGAAATGTTTGCAATTTGAAATGCACTTTCTACATTTTTGCCACCTATTTGAATGTATTCCGAAATATTTTAGGTTCCACTATTCGTACAGTTTTAAAATTTTTGTACCATGGATTGTTTATTCGGATCTTTCGATCCCAACTATTTTCAAGATAGCTGCCACTTCCAGTCTATTGGAAGTAGACTTAAGCTTCGTTATTTTAAATGGAATACTATAGTTGTTATTACACCTTTTAATTGTATGTAAAAAAAATATGTTGACTTTCATAAAAGTTATTGGTGCCTAGCGTTTCTCGTTTTCGAGTTGTTTTGATTTTAAGTTCTTTTTGGCAAATTTCACCATGCTCTTTAAAACCCCATATCCCAGCCAAAGTTCATTCAAAAAAGCTCTAAATTGGCACGATTACTCTTCAGATGCTGTCAAACAGATTGTCATTTGTTGTATCACTGATACAACAATACTCTGATACTAATGACATACTCTGATACAGTATCAGAGTATCTTATACAGGTGATCAAAAATTAAATTATCGTTTCTCCCTATTCATTGGGGAAAATTTTCGAAAACTTTTGGAATATCTACTGTAACATGGTTAGGACTCCACCACCAATTCTGATAAAGAGAATTGCGCGTGGTTTACCATAGTAGTATATTAGACCATTGTTGGTCGTAAAACCCTCGTGATCAGGTTCAAATCAGCTCTGATTAAATCACTCTCAAATCTCAATCAAATCCCAAAATTAAGTCTATATAGTATACATAAATTTAAAGTAATAAAAAAGTAATTATTCCAGGATTTTGCACAAATTTCCATTACTATCTAGTGTTTTTAACCATGCCTTAATAGTAAAAGCAGTGTTCCTCCGAATGTGATGTTCAGCAATGTATTTTCTAAACTTGTTGTACGCTTTAGGCGCATAATACGTAAAACACCTCTGACCTATCGCTTTATATGCTCTTGTTAGCTGCACGTCCATACGAATTCTAGAGCGAGTATCATTACCATGGTCTACATTAGTCTATAATCGCTAGATTTCCGGGTGTTGCAACGCATATTTTATTACAGTTTGAACATAGATTAGAGGGATTGATAATACTTCATATTTTATAAATAATTGATGAGTTTGGAATCTGATACCCACGTTAAGTAAAGCTTTTAAAATCAATCTTTGGATTGTGCGTAATTTTACTAAGTGAATATCTGAAGTTGCTTCCCAAGCAATAATATGCCGTATCTCAAATTTGCCTCAACCATTGCAATGTAATATTTCCTATGTGTATTTTCATGAAAGCACTAGGCACATGAGATAACAGTATTTTGATCATATTGCCAATATGCACATCCCACCTGAAATATTGATCCACCGCGACGCCGAGATATTTCACAGAGCTAACTCTAGTAATCTTAGGACAATCACAATCAGTTTGTTGACAGAAGTCGTTGTGTATCAAAAGGTAAGAGACTGTAGGTTGAGAATCAGCGTGTCTGGCGAAAGTGATGAAACTAGTTTTCTCAAAATTTAGGAACAGTTTATTGGAGTCAAGTCAATTTAACAAGATTCTTATATCGTCTCTGGCTAAGGAGACCATGTTTTTGACCATGTTGGGTTTTTACACGATGGAATATTAAATTTGTCTTTTGTACGGCTAAAGTGCCACTTCAGATTACCCAATTTGATTGAACATTTATGTTTAAATGATTATTTAATAATAATTTGTATTAATTTAAAGTGCCAGTTTGTGCAAAGACAAAAAAACAGATACGTAATCAGATGTACCATGTTTCGGGTTACGAAATTTGATCGAAATTTCATATCTGAATGTTCTTTATAATATCCAGGGACCCAAAGTATATATTATTCAATTTAAGTGCGTTTTGGTATGATGCTATTTAACGTTATACTAAAGCAAAACTACCTATTAAATGTTACTTTGTTACCTTATACTACTTTTACTATTTATTTATTACTTTGGGATACAGAAGAAAATAACGTATTACATCAATATTATCAATTTATTTTTAAATTAGTTTAAGTTTCAAATTGAATGCCCATGAAAAGTTTTATTACAATTCGTAGTGAAATGGAAACATAAATATACATATCTTACACTCCTGATATTTTATAAAAGTTAAGAATGATGTGTATTTTTAGAGACCTGGTGGATGAAACTAATGAATTAAGCTTTGGCTTAAGTCGTTCAACATAGTTTTTAGGGTTCTCGTTTTAGTAGGCGTAAATCAAAGTTTTTGCCAGCACCATTTTGAAATCAAAGTACTACAAAGTGAAATATTGCCCTCACACTCCACTCTCTCAAGTCCATCCTTCCCACGTAAGAGTTGTAAAGTTTTATTAACCTTATTACGTCAATGTGCTTTCTTTGTTCTTTACTCCAACGTTTGCAGGTAATTGCAGGATTTACAGTAATTTCGGTACATGCTACAAAGATTGGTTTGTTATCAAACACTAGTTTCGTTTTGACAAATCTTCCTGTGTAAGATAAGAATTGCTCATCGATAGAATTTTTTTTGTCGCAAACACTATCCCGGCATGCTCCTTTACTTTCTGAAACTTTTGACGTATTTTCCAGATACAGTTATTAGATCGTGTTGATTCTGGAATTTCAGAGTCATTGACAACCTTTAATCGTGATCTCAGTGTAACGATTAATAGTCATTGGAGGATTAGGTCATTGGTTAGGTTACCACTAAGTCGCGTCTTGTTTCTATAGCCCAGTTCTGTTTGTGCATTTTGTTGTCATTATTTTAACTCATTTTCAGTAATAATGTATTGGTATGTATTATTATATACATACCTATAATATGTATTAAAAGATTTTAATATGAATTTTATTATTTTATTGTTAAAAATACCGCATTTTTTTTGCTTTATGTTTAAATTTTGTGAAGTGCGGCCATTTACTAAGAATTTTATATTACAATACAGTCATAGCTATATTTATTTTAAAAAAAAAGTGAAATATTTAATTTATAGAAAGCAATTAATTGCCTATGAAACTCTAAATTAATTCGAACGTTCTAAACAAATAGATGAATAAGTAGTTCTAATTATTATAGAAATAAACGCTAAAATAAAATTTCTGACGTTTTTGGCTCCTTTATTCTAACAAGCAAAATTATTGATCGATCACTTGCTTCTATTGATGTTGACTACGTAAAAACTAATCTGTCAAAAGAAACCCAAATCGGTATTGTAGATTTGACTTTCGACTCATAAACAGTGTTGAAGCAACAAACATGAACGAATCATTTGTGGTCTTTACATATTACTTTATTAAAATAGGACAAATTGAAGTCTTCGTAATACTCTTATTAAAAGGTCCATTGTTGTAAGGAAGCTTTGGTTAAGTTATGACATTCAAAAACTAAAATAAAAATTAATATGACTGTCACAGTAGATCATATGGCAAGAATTATCACATTTTTACTGTACAAAGCATCATATGAACTGGATACTATCTGGACTAACATCTAAGCTTCTTTCTCAAGTGCAAATTACATCTTTAGTAATTGAAACTGAAAAATTGTAGTATACAGTATGGAGTGTACTTAATATTACAAGCTGAAAATTAAAGAAGATTTAAACATTATTAAGTATTAATAGTAATTAATCACCAAGGCTAAACCGTAACTCTGATTTCACATAAAACTTAATCTCCCAATAGTCATTCTTCAGAAGATTTTACGCCAAATGTACATGTGAATTTTAAATTAAATTTATGAATTAATTAATTTTAAAATAAAATGGATATTTTTAAGGATTTCATTTAAATGTAATGGATACGGTATTAATAAAAAAAATTAACAAGCAAATAATCTATTCATACACTAACGATTACAAGATGTTCATTTTACAGTAAATAGAGTACCAATACAAATATCAGTTCTTTTTCCCGTAAATATTGTTCATACACTCTACTTAATTAATTTTTATTTAGTAGCAGTTCATTTTATGTATAGAAAGTGTTTACTCCCAATTAGAGCCTGTTATTTTTTAATTATCCATTGAATATTTAGTAATTATGTATTTGTAGTTCATGTAAAGAATGAAAATATGAAACCGGTATTAAAAGTTTGTAATGCTTGTAAGATTATTAATATCTAAAAATGGGTTTCGAAGATCAAATTGATGATTGAATTGGTTAATAAAGTACAAAAGGAATCCAATAACTTTTAATACATTCTGTACATATTATAGGATTATCAGATTACCATCAGACTAATTTTAAACGTATTTATGTAGTTTCACAGCTTTTCTTGTTTTTTTTTTTAGATATAATCATATTTAACAATAATATACAGAATATTCGCTACTTATAAATTATGGGTTTTATTATCCTGTGTATTATTTAGGTGTATGTATATTACTAAATATAAATTATTTAAAACTGAAGAGAGAATTAAACATTTTTTTTCTCTTAAATATTAATATGCAGACTATATTGACAGCTGTGATAACTATATAATTTAATGACAGCTGTCAAGACACTGTCAAAATAAAAACAACTGTATATAAAATAGAAAATCAATAAAAAAAAACTTTAAATCAATATTTTTTCCATTTAAATAAATCTCGACACATGAAAAACTTAACGACCAATAAACACCACATTTATTTATTTGACGGTTTTCTTAAACTGACAATAAGCAGGACCTCAGAGATGATTAAAATGAACTGGCGGCTAATCTAAAAACGTATCGGTTACATAACCAATAATGTACAATAATTCCCAAACCAAATCCCGCCAGAATTTCTCTTCCGGATTTTGCTGTTTTTTCTGTGGTCCTGTCAGCATCAGCTATTGTTAGGGGTCGCTATCATATCCCCTCATCTTGTAACAAGACTGATTGGAGTTTACATCCTGAATTTCCCAACGGACGAACATCACCAAAAAGATTGCGACCAAAATCGTTAAAGCGATTGTTATTATTTGAAGCACTTGACTACGATCTAATGATTTTTGCAGTTTTCTTTGGGCATCCATTAAATTGTTTACGTTCGATGTTAATTGTTTCAATCGAATGTCGTCGACTTCTCCACTTCCCACCATTGTTGCACTTCCATTTTTCGAGACATCGTCTGGTTGTGCGCATCTTAATCTTTGTTGGGTTATATTTTTACTAGAAGCGTTCTAAAAGACAATTAAAAACATTAAAAGGTGAAGTAAACGATTAAAAAAAAACGATTAATGATAATATAATAGATATAAAAATTACCTTCCATAAATCTGATAATGCACTTAGAGACATTTCTCCCGATTTAACAGGCATACTCATTAATAAGAATTTATCTCTGGATAAACTGCGCACTTGAAAAGGTTGAAGTAAAGTGACACTGACAGTTTCTTTGCTACCGGGTGGTAAAATTCCAGAGCTTGGTCGTACCCTGAATTTTTCAGGGGATGTTGTTTTCATCTATTTAAAAAATAAATTAAATAGTTTGCTTTATACGAAACATTTTAATTTTTATTATTTATTGCCTAACCTTAAAGGATATTGTGGTAGTAGGATCGGTATTTTCCAGTTCCAAAATGCTAACCATTTCATTTCCATCTTTTGTGAATGTAATGACATTTGAAGGATTGATACTAAGCATTTTGTTGGTTGATTCTTCGGGTCCTTAAAAAAATAAATGTAATTACATAAGATTTAAGAAACAGATAGTTAATGAAAAAAAAGTTCAAAAACACAGGAAACATTTTAAAATTGTAGTTACAGTAGAAATCCATTAAGTTAGGCCATTTAAAAGCGGCATGTGGAATGTAAACACATAATTATAGTAGAAATTGACAAAAACGATAAGACAATGATTTAAGATTGCTTTATTTGCATTGTAGTTTTAGTTTAAGTGGTAATAACGTTTGAAAAAGAAATGGTTGGGTAAGCTGATTATATAAAACTAATTTTTAAAATATTAAAAAAATAAAGAATATAATATTAATCTTTACAATATACAAGTGATTCGCTACAAATGCAACAATCTAAAATAGTTGTTTAAATAGTTAAAACAGTTGGAATTTAATTCAAGAACGTGGTATTCTCTTAGTATATTTCCATTAGTGAATGAAAATAGATCATTTCATTGGCACATTGTAGACAAATTGTAGGCGAAGAGGTAATTTACAAAAGCAGTGATTTCTTTAATAGAGATCTACCTTCTCCATTTAATAGATCCCAACGTTTAAAGTTAAAATCTTCAAAACAAACAAGTCATAAAATGAAAGATTGTTCCGATGCTGCTCAAAGCGTACTGAAGAGACAAAGATTAAAGTCAAAAGAGACAAAGTTTCGTGGAGTGTTAAGCTTTCATCTAACTTCATCCACTTGTTGTAAGATACCATTGATCTCATACTCGAATGTAACGACTTCCTTCACTAAATAGGCGAATTGAAGCCGAAACAGAAATAGTTACCTATTTTGCAAAATTGTTAATTTAAAATTGCATTTTTAGCAAAACATTACTCAACGAAAAGCAATCTCTTTTAACTTTTGTTTTTCAACATTACAACCTTGGTCTCAAGTTATCTTGGATGGCAAAAAGACGGCAGATGAGCTAGTACGAGTTATTACAATATTTAAGGGATTAGAACACACAATTGATGACCAAAAATACCTACGTACATGGTAGAACGAGGAAAGACTGCGTCTGCTATGAAGCAATTTTCCAAGAACTCTGTTGCAGCCAATCTATTCCTAACTTTAATATATAATAATATTAAAACAAGACTGTGGCAACATCAAGGTTGTAATGGGAGTCTTTAGAGAGTATTGCCTCAACACGCATATTAACTCATTTGGTTTATCTAGATGTTATCTGACTATACACGAATGTCTTAGATAATCGACGACAGAATTGGTTATATTAAACAAAATATTTGTTGTAAAAAACAAATAGGAGTGTTTTGATAAAATGAATAAATAAAACGGCGATTTTTAAATGTTATTTATGGTTAAACAAGATTACGGGTGCCGATTTTTGCTTTCACTTCTTTAACTTAATATGCAAAAACCACAAAAGTTATAAAGAATATGAATTGGTATCAACTGGTTATTTTAACAAGTCCAGCTGAATGGTTGTCGACATTTACATAAACAATACACTATAAAAATAATTTTAATAAAAACCGGCATATGAAAGAGTCAATGAATCATTGGAATAAATTATGTTGGAGTTGCATTTAACTTATGAAAAATATACAGGATGGGATCCAAATGTTAATACCGTGTTAAAGACTTAAAAGAAGTCCAGCGGAATCAGATCATATCATTTGATTCCGCTGGACTTCTTTCTATCTTTAAAATTTAATTCACTACATAATATTCACTACTCAAATAAAAATTTATGGACATTCTTAAAGACACCGGAAATGGGAGTACTTCCGATTGTCAACATCCGAATTTTAGTACCTTTTGTTTAGAACCAGTCGTTAACTTTAATACACACAAGATGATACCCATAAAAATGATAATAAAATATTATTAAACATCATTATTGCCAGATGTAATGAAATTGTGTATTTTTTTTGTTAAAATTACTGTAACGTATTAAATATAAGTCAGGATAAAGTTAATAATAGTGGAAAAGAAATCGTATTTGCAATAAAATTCTTTACGATTAAAAAATAAAGAATATCGCAAATTTGTTAACTCAGCATTTTTAATTTTTTGCAAACTAATTATATTTCAACATTCGGTGTAGCAAACGTCTAGAAACCACAAAGAAAAAGTTATCTTTGCACTAAAATAAAAAAAGAATTGTTCAACTTCAACAAAATAATTTAAAAATTATTTTAAAGAAGCAGAATTATTCCCGAAAACATGCTAAATAAAGACGATTGTTTATCGTTTATCAGAAAACGATTGTATACAATGCAAATAATCGTTGGTGTTTTAATAGTGATTATTAAGTAGAGTGTGGGAATTGAATAGCTGTGTCTGATTAGTTTTTTGCGTTTTTAAATGCCACGATAAAAACTAAAGTAAACGTACTTACCATTGTTTTCTCTATCTCCAGCGGGACCAGGTGAATCCGACATGGGTGAAGCATCGGCAAAGTGGACCTACCACAAAGTTATTGATTTAAACTACTGAGATCGTCCGTAAGACCAAGTAAGTACACAGCGCCGTCATACCAAAATAAAATAAAAAACAAAACCCTCAAAAATAACCAATAAAAACATAAAACACAACATTTATGTTTCCTAATTAAAACTGCAGCATTACCTACAAAAACGAACTCCCAATTAGTTTAAAACCCCCCAAATTCTTTTCTATCCCACCAAAAATGATTTTTAACTGTTTTTTCGATTAAATTCTCCTCCGCAAAACAACTTACTTTATGTGCGGTCATGATTGTCTTTATTTTTTTCTATTAGAAACGTAGGTTGTAGCTTCACGGTCGTAGATTTGATTTCACGCGTGGCGCGTTTAGAAAGGCGAAAAGGTGGCGAAAAGCGACAACTTCCACGACGACGTCGCCCGGAATCGTGGAACGAACGAAATAACAACGATCGAAACTTAAAACGGGGCAGCGGCGCCCACGAGTGGCGGTCGACGATGGGGTGACGATCAATTCGTCAATAAAGTGCGCCACATTGCTGCTCGAACAGACGGACGTTTCGTTCGTTAAATACAGAAGCCGTAGGTAAGGTATATTTTTACCATTATATACTTCCCCGCTCTTTTATGCCCCAATTTCCCCCCTTTACGTTACTCGACTATTTTAGAGAACTGTAACTGTATATATATGTAGCATGTCTATGCATGCATTAATATCTAATTCTATAAACAAACCTAAAGAAATAAACTATAATATTTTTTTGGGTTAAATTTGTAGAAAGTAATTACAATTTTTTAAGAGTCCAAAAAATGGATTAAGACTTTTATAATATCTTTTTGATTTTACCTTTAATAAATAATTTAATCTAACTTCAATACATAAAAAACTTAAATCTTGGTGAGTGCTGCTGTTTATTCATAAATATTCAGTATCTCTATAAAAACCTGCGTTTCATAAAATATTTATAGTTAATGTAAAAACAAAGATCCTCAAACATTACTTTATAAACTTAGATAACAGTTTTATTTAATGGGTATTTAAAATATTCGTCAAGAAATTAAGTTTTTTTAACAAATTTTCTATTCATAACAATATCATTGGTATTCATTTCATGTATGCTTTAAATAATTTTCTATTCCAAAAAGGGTTAGTATTCTAATAACAATCCAATTATACATTTTTAAATCAGTTGTGTTTATCAGCCCTTTATACTGTAGTTTTTTGTTAAAATAACTCAAATATTTTATATTAACATAAACTCCATAAAGTTTTATTTCTTTGGTAACCAGAAATAAAACATTATTATATTAAATGAAACCTGAATAAATGTGGTTATCATTCTATAATAACTTTTCATAAACCTTTAGCCAAACTGCTTTATATTGATTAAAATGTCTTTCAATATCTATTTTTATGTCGCACGTTAATTGCTATTTTTGGATTGTGACTTTTTTCATGCTAATAATAACTAACGATTCAAGCGCCTATTTACTAAACCTTCAGTTTTAATTGAGAATGGAATAATTTAACTTTAAATTTGTTCATTCATTTTTAGAAGTCAAGTGCTCTTAAATTAAAAATCAACTCGAGTGCAATTAAGTATACAAACATTGCATACATATTTATACCGAAAATTATATTCTGAAATATAACGAGTTTTCGAATTAATCTGATACAAAACAAAAAGTTTTAATATACATATTGACACTTTTTAAAATTAAATTAAAGAAACTAATTTGAGTTAATATTTTCTGTATTACTGCTGGAAGGTGTAGATAAATGTCATTTAACGACGTAAACTTTAGCTAAAACGTTTTAAATAATGAATTTTTAATACCTGTAGATAAAATACCTTTCTCTGATTGTTAGTTTAAAATAACCTTACAAAATTTAAACAATTTATTCTTAAAACCAACTGCGAAATCTTATAATACAAAAACTGCCAACAGTAAAAAGTCAAAATGAGAATTTTATCCTAACTCACAACTATCTATTATAAGGAGACCTTGATGAGAAAAGCATACAAACAAAAGCGGAAAATACCATCACGAAAAAGGTTTTAAGAACTACTGAAATGAGAAATCTCATAATAAGCTACACTTGAAGAAACAGACAGCAATGCGAAGGTATCAGAAATATATGTGGCATTGAAGACATTATTAGATGGACCAGAAAGCGAAAATGGGGTTGAAGAGACCATGTTGATAGAATAACTGAGGACCAATTAGGGAAAATTGCGAATGAAGAGAGGCAGTGTTAAATTGGACATCAACAGCGCAATATGGACCATAATGAAGTACATATTACTAACATTAGCATATTAGTAGTACAGGACGAAGTCATAAATTAAAAAGAAGAAGATTAAAAATCGTTTCGTTCGAATTTATAACACAGACGTCTGCATTTCCACACTTTCCACAAGCTACGATAAGATCTACAATATTTATCTGATGTATTATAGCAGCTAAATACCTTGAACTGTAGCATGCAAGAAAAAGCAACTTTTCTTAGACACTGACAAAACGAAAACCATTCAAAGAAAATTGTAGATTTGGAAAAAATTTTTTTGAAGGTATTTTTTTTTCTATTCGCAAATAACACTTGCTTCAATGAAACAGATTTAATAATACAATTGGATCAGAAATCTATTTGTACAACCTTCAATTATGAAGCAGTTTGAATCAAAGCAGATAAGGCGCTGATCTAAACCCCACCGTTGCTAAAACTATAATTTTTGCGTTTATTATAAAAATTTGTAATGAATTCACAACATAGGTGTTTGATTTTGGACATACATTATTTAATTAATTTTTGTACACATTTTGGAGGTAAAGTGATACTACAAATACTTTTTGTAAATATTTCAGCAGTTTACGATTTTGAATTCCACCATGCAAGAAAAAGGAAAAAATATTTTCACAAATACTGACAAAACGATTGCATTTCGAAGATATCTACAGATTTGGAAAAGAAAAGTTCTTGAAGATAATTTCAAAATTTGTCTATTGGTAGATAATATTTGCTTTAATGAGACACTTCCGATAATAGTTGAATGTATTACGGATTTAGAAGAAAAATTAAGTTCTTAGTTTCCATCAGTTAACAATACAATTCATTCGGAAATCATTAACCTTCAATGACCATTCAAACCGCACCATTACCAAAAACACCAATTGGTACAATCTAAGACAGTTATGAATGTACATCTTTTGCATGTAATACAAGTATTGAAATGGATTCACAACTTAGACTTTTGGATAGTAAGGTGAGATGATTTGATTGTCAAAGAGAGAAGTACTTATTTATATACGAGCTACGACAAGAACTTCTTTGTTTGACTAGATGAAACAAATACTTTTTGTAACCCTTCTTTGGAACTTTCGGTGTGCCAGGTTAAGAGAAAGAAGACAATATTCTTGTGAACGTAAAGACCTTAAAAGTAATTTGGAAGTTTTTTATCGATAACATCACATGCTTAAGTGAAACACTTGCGATAATAGTTGAATATTTAAGGTGTTTACAAGAAAAGTTGAATTTTTATTTCCCATCAACTAACATGTAATCTAAGTACGAAGGCTTTCACGGCCGGTGTTTATTGAACTAAAACTAGAACTAACACCAGAAACTTTCGGGTTTCGAAGTGAACTTCGAACCAGTTTCTGAAGAAAGTTGCAACATGGCATTCGAAACGTCAAACCTTTTGTTAAAAGACGCACGGCAAAATCCGACAGTTTCTAGTGTTAGTTCTAGTTTTAGTTCAATTAGTTCTATGATTTTATACAATCCTCAAGTAATTTTGATTAAACATAAACATATTAGAAGAACTGGCAGCTATATTAATTGATCATGGATTGATGATTAAACAAAAGAAATTATTTCTTGAAGCAATATGGTTTTCTATAAAAGAAAATATGTGAGATTACCTTTCAAATAGTATACGCCTAAACATATAATAGAAAACCATATATAAGATGTCACAGAATAAATATTCCTTTCCAGAATAAATTTTCGGAAATACGAGAGGACTGAAATGAACATATTTTATTAATAAATAATAAACTAGTGTATTTCTCGGTGTCAAGATAAACTAGAAATCTATAATAACAATCTCAATTACAACAGGAAAGAGTTAAGTTACTATCGCCATTTTCGATAAACAAGTTGTAACGATTTGCAATCGAATGCCGAATTCTTCGAAATAGCTGAGGACGTTTACGAATACCATCAAACGCTAGAATAATTTGAGCTACTAACTCCTCTTCCGTATTATCAGATGTCGCATAAACCAGTGATTTAATATAGCCCCAAATAGAAAAATCAACTAGAGTCTACTGAACGTGCAGGCCATCCTTTTGGAAATTGTTCATTTAGATACTTTCGGCAATGTAATACATAGTGTGCTTGAGTATCACCATGCTGGAAAACAATATTTCTTCGAATATTAAATGGGATATTTTCAAGCAATTCTAGTAGAGTATGTTCCAGAAAAATGCTATACACATGGCTATCTAAACGTACAGGCAGTAAATATGGTCTTACTACATATAATTTTTATTTTGATACTCAATAATTTCCGAACACTAGTTTATTAACAAAAGGTGTCTATTTAAGTGTCCTCGATCATTTTTTAAAATTAGGTATCGTTATTCCGTGACACCTATATATGCAAAGTATTACAAAGTAGTGTACTGAGACGAGTCAGGTAAACAAGATATTTATTTTCCAGTATGTAAGAAATAACATATTCTCGGTTATCGTCACGTTATCTTAACCAAACGATTAAGTCAATTGGAATCTGAGAAAAGTTCATTAATGTCATGCTAAATCTCAATCAACTTGATATAATGCTCTCATAGATTACAACAATTTCTGCATATAATGCCAGGCAGATGAAAACTGCCTTTGCATCCCAGATATATCCTGAGGGGATATCGTCCTTGAAAGAGTATGCGTTTCATTTACAGTAACTCAATCCGATACCTCTAATAGTACACAATAATAAAGGATTTGATCAAAAACTAATACAAAAAAATATCGTTCTATCATACAATCAGGTAATAAACTAATAAATAGTCTAAAATTATCCTAAAATAGCTATTTGCATATGACATATAAAGTATATTCCTAAAGTTTTATTTTAATTATAAACAAAAATTGTTGACATTTATGATTTTTCAGTATGTTCTAGGCATTATTTTCAAATAATGTAAGATAGCGCCAAGATTCGAGTTATTAATGTAACAATTAGAACACTTGTTGAAAAATTGACGTGTGAACACTCTAATTTAATATTATATCAATTTTATTTATTGGTATTCGATTTTGAAATATCTTCAACAGTTACTACAAATACAAGCACTTCTTTAGCTAAATTTTTAAAAGTGAAAATCTTACAGGCTATTTTTTTCATTTGACAGTCTACTTTTGAAATAGCTTGTATAAAGAACTTTTTATTTATTTTTCCACTGCTTAATTATAAACCTAAATAATCACTACGAAAAATTTATAGTTATTTTAAACAATAGATCTTGTTATTAACTCAATTTCATTTTTGTCGAAAACAGCATAAAAGATTTAAAATCACAACATATTTTTTATCGAGTACTTTGTTGAGTAACAAAAAAATATGGTTCATGTTTGGTATAAAAAACCCGAGAATAATAAAAGAATGATGACACATTGTTGATAAAAATCGATAAAGTTAAAAAAAACTCATAAGCATGTATATTTACACTGAGAAATTAGCTTTTATTACATTTGAATTGAACCAATTTAAATGCTGCTAACAGAATAATAAATATGAAATAATTTTTACATTAATATTAAGTATATTAACAGTACCAGAAGATATTTCCGTGTAAGAAATCATTACAAAACGAATGAAAAAAAAATCACCAAATGGCTTTCGTTTTCCAGTAATAATTAAGTTTTTATTAGTTTCTAAACTTGACCATTTTAAATACGATCATTAATTACCAAGAACACAACATGGTTCTCATTACCTTATGCGTTTATCATTATGCCGCATCTTGACATCATGACAACTAATTATATCTCCAGCAAAGTTGGCATTTTCCATCGATCAAATTTTAACGGCATTAAGTGTTTTAAAGTGTTCTATTTTTAACGTACTATAAAACAGGAGATAAGTGACCCTATCCCTTATACCGGCGGTTCTAATAACCAGTATGTACCAGACATGGTAATGCAATAGGTAGCAGTGACAAATTGATGATAATGAATTACAAGACACACATTTAAATGGTTTAATCAATATCTCTATCTAATAGGGTAAATTAAAATATTTTAAAATTTAATCCTGTTTTATATAAATTATATTCCTTTTCAATATTTCAGATCTGTATTGGTCATAAAGAGAATGAAGTGTGTAAAACACTTTTGACGCCAAACATGAAATATCTTCTAAAAGAAACCGAATCCAATGAAACCTCATCAAAAATCTCTCTACAAGCGAGTTCCCAAATTCGAAAAGAGCATAAACTGTATTTATCCCCCATACCTGACAAAGAAATGAAAGTAAAACACACCAAATGAAAGCTGAAGTAATTTTTGACGTTCTTATGGAATAAACTGATGAAATTATCTGCTTTGACCATCTAAAACTCACTACTACTAAAAATACCATCGATACATTCTATCTAAAATAATTATTGGTGTATAACTTTTGCATTTATTCTGCAAAAACGGAACTTTTACTTTTCACTTGTATAATGACATAACTTGATAAAACATCATATGAACCCATTAACTTTCTGAATTAAAGAGTATATCCAAATATATCGTACTTATTTAATTTCTCTGAAGTCACATCAGACCAAAACATGCTTTTCGATTTTGTAAACTATTTCAAAGATACATGTAAGATATATGTATATATCTTACATGTTTCTAAATTTAAGAAAAATTGAAGATGACACCCATTATCTGCAATGTACTACTACTGTCGTAGTCGTTTTGTGGTTTATTGACGTAGAGCATGGTTTTTAAGATTGCCCATTAAGAGATATCGAAACGGATAATTCAAAAGATCAACATAACTAGGACACATCGTCAAGATATCACGAAGTATTACATATTCGCATTTTCTTCGAAGCAAAATTTACGATATTCTGTCATTTCGTAGACATGTTCTACAAAGATCTTGAAAAAAATCGAATTTTAGTCGAATTTCAATCACTCTACACTCCAACACAGTAACAAAAGCCTCCTTTTCCGAAGCTCCGAGGCAGAAGAACGAACAAATTCTCAAACAAGCCCAAACTCTTCAAGGCGTTATGAAAAAATCAAACTCACATGTCGACACTGTAAGGAGAAAAATTATAATGGTTAAACAAGAAATAAATGAGAGAGATCAGAAACTTGAGTCAAAATCGACGGGATTTTGACTCATGGACTTCAGATTAAGGAAGAAAAAAGACTGCTAAAATCGTACATATTAAAGTTATATTTAGTAATATAGGGAACAAATTAAATTTTATAAAAGCAAAATCGAAAAAAAAGTAACGTTTCAAAAATTGGGTTATGAAGGAATTAATAATGTTTATTTCTGTGATGAGTTTACTAAGTATAGTCAGGAACTACTTAAGACTACGAAAGAGTGTATTACTGAAAATATGTTTGGGTTAAAAACGGTAAGTTATTCGGACAAGCTGGTGAAAACAAACTAATTATTAAAAACTGATAATTTGCCAAAAAATGAAAATTGGCTGTACGAGAAAATTTATTTTTATAGAATGAATAAGTTGTTATGAATCTTGTAGATTACAATGGCATACATAATGTAGAGAAGATAGAAGTGGTGGAGTATTGATATTGACAAGTTACGAAGTAGAATATTGATGCAGCTAGATGTTAAATGGAAACATATTTAATATTAACATATTTAGTGTCCGCAAACACTCGCACATGAGTCTTTATAATCAAATTATAACAATGTTGGAATCCGACAATAAGGGTATAAATTCAAAAGTTGTGAAAATTTTAATAGGGAAATAATATAGAGAAATAATCTCTTCTGGAGAACTATACACCGATACTCTCTACAATCTCTGTACTTACAAAAATATTTGTGTCTTAGTTCAGAACCATTTAAACGTGATTAGTTTCCAAACTTGTAACTAGCATGGTTTCATCAGTAGTAAGAGCTCACAAACTGCTGAAATTTGTCTATACTATCTGGCTGAGAATAAATGTGTTCTGGATGTATTCCTAGATAGGTTAAAGCTTTAAAGAATTAGAAACATTGGAAATTCAAGCACCATCACATAGAATATTTGAAGATCATTTAAAGAATTGAATAAATAGTATTACCATGCACAAGACTCAAATCATGTGTACCTTAAGAATGCATCCTTAGAACCTGCCTTATCTGCTAGCAATACTGTTTTATTTTATAGCAGGTTTCTCGACTCTGATACACAATATAGTTTAAACACTATTTACTCTTAAACTGAAGATAATAACATTAAATTAATAAAAAGCAAATTATTTGGGCGTTGTCTTAGGCAATAGATTATCAAAAACGACATAAATACATAAACATTAGAAAATGGTTGCTGCATTGGCAGAAAATGATTCAACATTCTACCGCAACATGTAAAAACTTATGTTTTTTGCTGGTCACAGATTTACTATCCATATCTCAACTGCTCTCTGTTCTTCCACAAATCTTTCTCCACCTGTCTCTCTTACTACAATCATGTGATTTCCGCTTTAGGATCTGTTTGGGAAGTCAATTCCCATCGAATCTTTAGACATGGCCAAACTACCTCACTTGTTTTATTTTTTATATCATCTCATATGCGTTTAGCAGCCATGATTTCCCAGATTCTTAAATTTCTTATTTTTAATCCATCGCTGTGGCTTCAAGATACTTTTCTCTTTTTTTTTTGTTTCCTTGGCCATACTTCGCTTCCATATGAGATTATACCTTTTATGATTGTGTTGTATATCTTGTACTTGTTTAGTTTTGATATTTTTTGATCCCATATTATGTTGTTCATTATATTTATTGCCTCCCTTCCTAAAGTATTTCTTTCTTTAATTGCTGTACCTAGCATTGAGTCATTCATAATTGTCATTTTCTAAGAGAAGATCCCTGCTCTAACCTCCTACACACACTCCATATTTTTCAAGGTTTACCTTGAATCCCCACATATCATATTCCTCTATCAACTTTCTAGTCGTATATTCCAGATCTAAACAGTCTTGCGCAATTACTATTTGGTCATCTGAAGCAGAGGGTGTGTAAGCTGTTGTCATTTAATGGTACACTCATTTTCTCACATTTGCTCCTCCAGTTTCTTAATATTTATTTTTTAAAACCAACGATGTTTTATTTCCTATCTTTACTTTTGCTGTTAAGTTGTCGTATAGCGTTTTGACTGCTCTTATTAAAGTTATTCTTATATTAATCTTATCCGTCGCCAAATCCCAGAGTTTATTTACTCTCTTACGGTTTCTTAAGGTCCACATACAGGCAATGTACTTCTTTATTTAATACATTTTCTTCTCAGAAACGGAGACTTTTGTAATAAATATATTGAAACAATAAATATACTCGTGAATAAACGCATATAAATATATTGAATCGATTACATTAATGTTAGATACTTTATTAATATCTACTTATTAATATTTGGAAGCGCCTTGAAAATGAAAACCGACGAAAAAAATATTCCACAATGTTTTAAAATGAAGTTATCATTTGGCACATTACTTTTGATATAATCATAAAATGATTAATGTAAAAATTACTTTATAACTATTAACGTCAATAGCATTTAAATTCCATAATTTAAACGAACATTTTTTAATGATTATTGGCTTGCTATAAAAGATATATGACTAACATTAATTTTTTGTTAATTATAGCAAACTTTATAGAAGTTTTTTGCTCAACAAAAATAACAAACTCTTAATAACACAAAGAACTATAAATAACATTCTTGATAAGCGTAACAATGGATTTTTATTCATACACATAATTTTTGGATTAAATAGTGCACATAAAAATCGATTTTTTCCATATTTTGGACTCAAAATATTGTAGGAAAAAAATACCTATCCTAATAAGAGATTTTCTTAGAAAATAATCTAATAGATTAAAAGACGCTCCCTTAAAATCAATATTAACACCCTAAATAATTTATTTGTGAAGAGGGAGTGTTCTTGGCATTAAACTAAAAGGTCAACAAATTTTTGTAACTAAATCCAACCTTATTCCTTCAAAAGGCGAGATCAATAAACCTACTCACTATCAGGTTGTCGAAATGTTTACGTAATTTTTTTGATAAAAATTGTTGATCAATTCAGGCATTTTTTTACTAATCCCCTGATAATTACGATAACGACGCTTACCTTTTTATTTATAACCGCGCTATTGTTATTAATGGTATCTTCAACGGAATCGGAAACGAAACTGAATGTATAATCATCCTCACCACCCCATTGTTTTAATGCTTGGTTTAACGGAATCCAATTGCTAACTTCTGCTTTTTTAATAGTTTTTATTCGTTCAATTGCTTTTGGCGGCAGCCAAGATTTAATTAGTTTAAATACAGCTATAAATATAAAAATTGTGATAAAAATAGTAAAAGAATCATTCTTTGAAGGACAGTGAATAATAAAATTAAGTAGGTAAATTAAATTAAACATAAAGTTTGATTCATTTTGGTAATCATTTAACTAATATGTTTATATGTCAAGGATAAGTTAAAGGTCACACAATTACACAGCATAAAGTTAATCTAACTTATCAGTTTGTTATCAATTATTTTAAAATTAATTTCTTACCGTTTAATATCCAAGCCATTTCGTACACTATTATGTAGTTCAAAAACCATGGATAATAATTTTTAAAAAGACCAATCAAGTACTTTGTGAATTCCAAATCCATATTTGAAACGCCACAACCCTCCAGATCAAAAAAAATCGTTAACGCCTTACCATTTTCTTGCCTAAGAAAATCATATATTACAATCAATCGAATCTTTTTTAAGTTTATTACCTTTCCAATCTTTCTAACCAATAAACAAGACATCTCTTTAATTCATTCAAATCTTTTTGACCTTTTATGTGCTTTTTACAAAAGAATATGAAAACTAAATGACCCTCAATGTCACGTCCCCTTGGAAAAATTGCTCCTTCTGTAATATACTCTAATCTGATGTTATTTTCATTAATTTCTAAAACAAATGTTTTATGTAGTTAATTTGATTGTCTTTAGTGATGTGGGAACATACCGTTTACCCCAAAACTTTTTCTCCATTTAATAGTATCCGTTAACATTTCGAAAGCTAGTTTGTGATCCAAATCATGATGAATTAGGAATCGTTTTAACCAGAAATCGTTTGTTTTTATTCTATCTAAGTCAGCAGGATGTATAACTAACGGAAATTAATGCAAAATCATAAAAAAATAATAAATTGTGAGGTTTTTATGAATAATTTACTTAAATGTCAAGGTTAAATAGATTTATTATCTATCTCAAAGCCTTAATTTTAATAGTTATAGAACTTACAAATTATTTAAACATAAAATCACATAGACAATGATTATCAACTTCTTTTCGGTTCGATAAGATTAATCACAACATTTTATAACCGTTAAAATAACATGTGAAATTAATTTTATTAATAAAAATTTAACTTACAATCCTCTTTTTCAGAATCAACAAGTTGTAGCACCGCATTTCGAAGGGCATCCACCTTCTCCTGGGGTACCTCTTCAGCCATAGTTCTATACATTTTTCGAAAGAAAAAAAAATTAGTTCTGTACTGATAAGGAACAAAGTGAAAAGTAACAAAGTTAATAACGGTTAACTTACAATAATTATACAGGTTGATTTGCAACTTTGGGATGAAATAATTGTTAATTAAAAAAAATCAAAGTCCACAGCACTCAGCCTTCGAAAACTAACTGGACAAAAAACATGCAATTGCAAACGTCAAAAAACCTTCACGGATTCATCTTAAACAAATAATTATGTGAGGGCGCCACTGTATTTGTAAACAAACCCAATTGAAATAATTAATTAATTGATTTAGCCGTTTGTAATTATCAATAAAACTCATTTCAATTGTAATTAAGCGTTTTTTACTTAAATTAAGGTAGATATTAATAATAAGTAAAGTGTTATAGCGATTAAAAATTTAAATTTTTAAAATTCTTTTAACCCCATCTATTTCGAAAAATTTAAAACTTAATCGTTTTATAATATTTACTTTCTTCAATTATTCAAATTCATTATAATCATAAATTGCATTAAATTTTAGTAATAAATAAATTAACTTAAAAATTTTTCGTAAAAAAATAAAACAATTTTATCTTATAATAAGTTATAATTTTAAATTGCATTAAGCGCCATCTATCACACAACAAAGTAACAATTATTATCTGTCATTGATTATTTTTAAATATTTACTATTTTTTGCCTCTAATTAAAATGTTCACAACCAAAATGAACTCTTTAAGGCTATATTCAAGAGCAACGTTAAAAAATTTGAGGTATTTTTCATCGCTACCAGAGCCGCAACAAGAAGCACCAATAAGTGAGGTTATGTTCTACTTCTAACCTAAAAAGTACAACAATTTTTCTTTTTTAGTTAAATCTCGGGATGTGAACGAAGTTTTAACACACAAAGACTATTTTAAAGTACATAATTTATTCACCGTTGAGGATCTTTTTAAAGCCCGTGTTCAGTATGGCCATAAAGAGGGTTCGTTAAACGAACACATGTTACCATACATTTATGGGAGTCGTTTAGGACACACAATCTTCGACTTGGATATTACAGCAGAGCATTTAAGAAGCGCTTTAAATTTTGCCGCTCATATTGCTTATAGAGATGGTTTAATCCTCTTTTTCTATCGAGGAGCACAAAATGCCCATTTAGTTGAAAAAACTGCTATGGAATGTGGAGAGTTTGCTCATACTAGGTTTTGGAAAGGTGGTATATTTACTAATGCTGATAAACAATTTGGGGAAGTGACTAGGTTACCAGATTTGTGTATATTCTTTAATACTTTGAATAATATTTTGACCCAACATACAGCAGTGAGAGATTCAGCTAAAATGGGTATTGCGACAATTGGAATTGTGGATTCTAATTGTAATCCTAATTTAATTGCTTATCCAGTTCCTGGTAATGATGATTCTAGTGTATCTATTGAGTTTTACTGTAAGGTATTTAAAAATGCTATTTTAAGAGGGAAAGAAAAGAGAAAGGAACATTTTGGTGGTTGATTAGGAATAGGTTTAGAATACTTTAATTATAATTTAAAAAATGCTTTTAACATTTATTGTAACAAATTAATTGTAATACAATTCAAAAATATTAGGTAATAAAACAGAAAAGTTGATTTTTCAATGTAATATTTTTAAAACAGAAAAGAAAAACTACCATTGGATTTAAGGCAGTAGCAAAACTACATACTACTCCATCACCATTTTAACTACTTATTGCATTTTGTCCTGTAAATAGAATCAAATTACACCACCAATTCCCACTTATTTAAATGACTCACACAAAACTTAGCAAACAATAGAAAAACATGGATTAAGTATATATCACAGTAATATGTAATGTAGTATAATGTGTGTAACAACCACAAAAAGCATATCTAATACAGTTAAGCAAATAATTGCACAAAAAGGATTGAATAAAGAACACATAAAGCAAACAAATCAGAAAAATACTTTATATACAAAAAGAAATTAAATGTTTGGAAACAATTTGAAATATAGTTGAATACAATGTCTTAACTTAATATGTGCGAAAATGTTTTAAAAGGCTATATTTTTAAAACTATTACACTTACAAACATGAATGAAACATCAAAATAACCGGAAACTAGCATGTAAGCAAGATCTTTAATGTGCCACAAAGAAAGAAATCACAGGGTGTTAACTCAGGTGACCTAGGCGGCCAAGGAAATAAAGGTAGGTCATTCGCACCAACACTGCCACTCCAAAAATATAGAAAGGAAATACTTATAGATAGTGATCTCAAGCTGTCACCAGTCTTACCAAGTTGTGATTTTGCGATTATTTTGATATATATAATCGTTATGTCTGTAGGTGTAATAGTTTTAAGTATATAGCATGTTGAGTATATAGTAGGTAATCTTTGTAGTAACTCTGTATTTTAATTTAAATCCTTGATTTTATTAAATATTTTAAAAAGAAATCTTATCAAATTAAACTGTCAGTTATTACCACTATTTCTTAATGATATACTTTTGGCTTAAAGAAATACAAAAATCATCTTTTAATTCCTATCAATAATGTCAGTATTTTTTAACTATTCCTTTTCTTCTAAGACCGGTTAACTTAGTGATTACCAAAATATGCAGTAAAATATGAAGTATTACATACTCTTCATAATAAGGGGTTACCAGTAATAAATGTCTGTTTTTGCGCTTTTTTTAAATTTTCTTTTGCCACATATGAAGAACATATCCTGAGTTTTATTAAAATGAATAAAAGTGAGTGAGAAACGCCGTTTTGTAGTGACTTGTGACATCAGTTATGGATCGAGTTTGGCATATAGTCATTTTTTAGAAAATAATAAATGAAGTGGCCTAAAAGATAATTAAAATGTTGCAATACCCTGTTGATTGTTTATGTTTATTATTGTTTACCGGCTGACTCATATATGTGTGACGGAGAAACCAACAGGAAGGACATCACCACGACGATCCAAGAGATGGGCCCAGAGTTGGTTATCCTCGTTTACAGAATGAAAATAGACAGAACGAAGAAGAAGAAGTCTACAACAGCTAAAGGTTTTAAAACAATTGCAATTCTGATTGACATTGTTTTTTTCATAGTGTTATTGTGCATTGTTGTAATAATATGAACATCTCTGTCGTCACGCCTTTTTATTGCACGAAGAGTATTGGCAGATAAAGTTTTTGTGGTTCCTTTTTGAAGTTTTGTATTGAATTTAGACATATACATTCTGTTAGACTTAGCAGTGCTACAATTTACTTTCTTCTCATGCAAACATTTGTGTTAATAATTTGTGTTACAGTTATCAGTATATAAATTGTGGACCTTCGCCGCAATATGCTTCTATCAGCGTCATCACTATATTTTCGGATTTTTCTATAGCTTTATGAAAAGCATTTACTTCTGTTGATACTCTGGTATAAATGATCAAATTTAAAATGTAGCAAGCTTCATAGTCTAGTATTTCGAATAATTTTATACCAAAGCGATGTCCTTTGACAGTATGTACTGACGAAATGTGATTCTTCATTTGAAAAGTATCTGGAAGTCTCATCAATGAGCAAAGATTGAAATTGATAAAAGCTTTGTTTGAAAGTAATTTTGAAGTCGTAACAATAAGTCGTATTTTGTATAGCTTAATTCACAACAAATCTGTAAATCTACTACGTCCAATACATTATAGGAAAATTAGTGTTTCAATAATAAAGTGTCTGGACCAATAATATTTTATACGTTGCTTTTTGATTTGTGGCATAAATAGGGATAATCATAGATCTGACCGAATTTTCACTAAGTAGATAAGCCTAAAAGTGTTTGTGATAAAGTGCTCAAAGATTTCTAAAGGATCTCCTTGCGACAAATTGCTCCTGAAATTATATCCTATATTTGTGCCGTCAAAATTATGAAAAATGGGAGTAAAATTGTTGCTTGTCCAATTAGAATTATCATCCGAATGTTATCCTCAGTGTCACCCGACAATTTGTCCTTAGTGTCAAACCATATGAACGCAAACGTGTGGTTTTGGTCCCTACACGTGTGTCTACGATATTGCATGTAAGTACAGCTTAAGGGTGAGAAACTTTTACCCTACTAAAATGATACTTAAATAAGTAAATTAATACTTAATAAAGTTTCGATATGATTTAATCGATGACACTCTTTTGTGCACTTTTATGCAATAAAATCTTTGTTAAGAATTAACTTTTCAATTCCGCGACACCGGGATCATATGATATGATATGGTATTGCGAATTGGCTTCAAGATTGTCTCTAGCACAGTCCCATCCATTTACAATGTATTAATATTAAGCATTAACTTTTGAAATGCAATGTATGATATGCAACTGAAAATGTTAAAAAATGAAAAGATAATGTTCAAAATAAAAGCGACTAAAGCACGTCGTATTCTACGTTGTAGTACATTTATACAGGTAGCAAACTAATTTGCCACTACATAAAATGGAATAAAAGTGTATATGGAGAATTATGGCCTTCCCAAAGCTAAGTTGCGTTGTTGCGAAACTTTGAAGTCAATCTGTTTTCAAAAGTCAATGTGTAGGTATGCCATAATAATCAGCGTTGGTCCATTAAAACGTTCAATAGGAGAATATGGAGTTATTTTATAAAATACTGAGCATTTCTCAGAAAATAATACGTTTCAGTCATTTTGAACTCTAACATTAAAATCTAATATTATGCTATGAATTTTTTCTCTTCCCTAAAAACGATTACAGTGTGCAGTAACCTAATTTAGCCGACAATATGGATCCATTTCCTGAATAGCAATGTATTATTAGATATTGTAATGAAAAATATAAAAACGTATCTATGTAGTTACAGTACAATGATAAAACTATGAAGAATATTAGTGCTTTGCATAAGAAGCTCCCACAACAGGTATTTTGTAAAAATAGATTTTACATTTCAAAATTGCTGTGGCATGTTGTTATATACTAGTCGATACTATACTTATACGTGTCCAACACTACCAGCCCATAACTACAGCACTAGCAAAAGTAGTACTAGCTCAATCTAAAACTATCACATTGAATTTGAAATATTGTTCAGTATTTCTTCTGGATCTACTGCAAAGAATAATGAAAACCTTGGAATGGAAAACTGTTATTAAAACTTGTCAAAGCTTGCTGATGATATTTTCAACACGATTAAATGTGACTTGTTTTCTCGGGATTAATTATTTAAAAAGACCTAATAATCACGCCACAATATGACTATTTAACAACGTTGTTCAAAAAATTTGTTTATGTTGCAGTACTCCATTGAGGTTGGGATAGAAAACAAATAATTACATGATATTAACATAAAAAAAAAGTACAAGACGCTAATAAATGTGTAAAATATCTTCAATTTAAAGCAGAAATCATTAACGGGAGAATGATAGCTTTACCATTATTTTTGCATACAGGTACACAAGTCGTATAAAGGTAATCTTGTTGTATTTGTTCATTTGAAAGTAGTGGGCAACATGACTACTAAGGTATTGCTTGTTATGGAAATAATAACAATGATCAAAATCGAGTGAATCAAGCATCGTTTTAAAAAAATTGTTGAAGAAGGATGTTAATGAGACATTCACTTAGAAAAACATGAAAACATATTTGCTGCAGATCGAAACTGATATCTCAATTCAAGACCAAGTAAGTATATCAATGAATTTCATCCAGTAATGTTATGCTAACGATCTATCTAAACATGTAATCTTGTTGGAAATAATTTTCAGAAAAATATCCATGAATTATCTGACCTGTCTAAAACAAAGACACAAGTGATAGCAGTTCGATAATCAGTTTCTGGTTGATATGATATTAATTGTAGAGCCTCGACAGTAAGTGACTCGGCTTAATCGAATAAAATCATATATTTCCCACATTAATTAAAACCGAGCCCCCTTTCGACCGAGACGCAGCAATGTGATGATCAGTTTCGAGTTGATATATATTGATATTAATTGTAGAACCTCAGACTCAAGTGACCTTGGCTTAATCGGGTAAAATTATATATTTTCATCGCGAACTGATTGTAAGTTCATATTTTATAGGATATAAAGTGCTATTAAAAGTTAATATAAAATTATTCTTAAAAAATGGCCTCTTGCTTTATCTTAAGGTGAGGTACAGCGACTTGAAATAGTTTAGGAATCACTTAGTTAACTCAAAAAAGTTAAGTCAAAAGTTTTTAACAATTAGTTCGGAAATTTTCAAATCACAGACATAAAATACGTTCATTTTTAGAATATAAAAATTTATAATATAACGAAAAAAATTATTTCCAAACTTTTAAAAACAAACAAAAAGTGTTAAAAGATAAAAATAAATAATTATATGGTGTTGTTTTCAAATGGTTTCTACCTCTCTAAGAACCGTTGTATCTCTGCTATCTCGCAATTTGAATAAAGTCTCCGGCCCCAAAATCCTCAAACCCCTAAGAAAGAAGAAGAAAATGTTAAAAAACTATTTATATTATTAATTTCTTGTGTAATAGTAAACGAGAACTTTTTGTGTGTACCATTTAAAGATGTTTGGCATATATACAGCGACGTAAAGGAAAGTAATTAAAGGTTGAATCGCAATCCATGCTTCTTCTTGTTTATTTGCTAAAGCGATCGCACAAAGTTCTCCGCAACGTTGTCCAGTCATTCTTTTATCAGTTGGTTGAACAGTTTCACTATAATTCTATGAAAAATTTTGATTATAAGGGAATTAAAAAATATGATTGTTTTTAAACAAATACCTCTCCTTCTTTTTCAGTAAAGCAATTTTGTAAAAAATTGGTGAAAGTTGGTCCTGGACATAACAAAGTAACAAACAGTCTTTTTCCAATTTTCTCAGTCCTCAAGCAATTAAAATATCCCTAAAAAGATTTATATTAAAAATAAATCGTTTTTTTTATTTAATTTATTAATACATGTATAGCATATTTTGATCCAGTATAAGTCCCTGAAAATGGAACTCCCATAACACCAGCTAAACTGGAAGTAACAGCAATGTGTCCTTCTCCCCTTTGATTAAAATGTTCCATTGCAACTCGACTCAAATGGATTACGCTGAAGACGTTTAAATCAAACATTTGTTTATCAACTTCCATGGAAATGTTCTCCCACATCGCTCTTTGAGATCTCCCAGCGTTATTTACTAAGATATCAACACCGCCAAAATGTCTTACAGCGTGATCAAAGTGTTTTTTATGAAATTGAATATCAACCATGTCCATTACGAGAACTAAGATATCGTTACTTGATAAGGACCCATTTGATATTTCTTTGAAAAGAACAATAAGAAAAATTATTAATAAATATTTTAAGATATTTTTGACGAATCCATAAAACTAATAATATTAATTAAAATTCATACCAAGACATTCACGTTTAACTCTTTCCAACTCATCTTGTCTTCTAGCCGCTAACACTAACTTAACACCATTTTTAGCTAAACTTTTAGCTATATGTTCTCCAATCCCACTTGAAGCTCCGGTAACAAAAACGACTTTACCCCGTAAATGACTTATTGGTTTACCAAATTTTTCGTAAAATTTTAATTCCAAATCGGCGTCAAAAAACAACGTACACAAATAAATCAATCCGTAGATAATACAACCAATACCGATTAAAGAAAAAAACATTTTCACTTAATTCCCGTTTTTTTATTTCACTAAATTTTAATTTACGTGGTCACGTTATGAGGATTTACGTTTGCGTCTAACCTCCAACTGCGCGTAGATATTTTTAAAAGCCGTTTATAATCAGGAGCAGGAGAGATAATGAAAAATTTTAAACTAAGAGGTCGGGTTTTGTATCCAAGTCGAGTATGTTTACTTTTGGATAGATTACACTGATGTTGTATTTTATAACTAAGTTTAGTGTGGTTGATTCGTGAATCGACTAAATTCACGATTGTGTTCGAAACGAGTACCGTTTTAAGAGATGTTGACCTCTTGTATTTGCGCTCTAAAGCGTGCCAGTAACCCTATTTTGGGCGTGTTAAATGAAAGGATCAAGATCAAGGTTGTTATATTGTATGGTTTTAAAATTGAAACGATTCTGGAGAAATAAAAAAAGGTTTGTTCCATGTAATGGAACTGTTTAATAGATGATAATGAGGAATAAAAACATTCATTTCTCATTATTATGCCAAGGTTAAAGTGTTTTGGGTTTTGAAAAATGTATTGAGATGTCTAAAACGGATTTAAATTAATTGGAATTTAAAAAATATACAAAAACTGGATAATGGAGAATAGATAGCTATTTGAAACTAAAAAATATATTAAATTTAATTATTTCTTGAATAAAAATGAAAAAAATAATGAAATTTTACGAATTTATGAAAGGAATGATCTATGTACCAGTTCTCAGGCCCCTGAATTTATTTTTACTATTTTTAGCACTCTGGGTGTATATGCACCCAGAAAATAGGTGGGATGAGTCGCTCATACAGGCTATCAAGATCATATGATAATTTAGAACATCGTTTGATAATTAGCTACGATTAAAAATGTACTTAATTTCATTTAATATTTAATTTAAAAAAAATAATTTGAACTGGTTTTTCCTTTTTAAGTTCCAAAAATTGTCGTCTTTACTTATTTGTTCTATGCTCACTTTTGTATGAAATCCATCACCCACTAAAATTCAAACTACAATTTTGAAACTTCGGCAAAATAATACTTTATTAACAACTAAGAAACGATGAAAGTTTCCGCCGAAAAAACTCAACTGTTATGTTTCCTGTACCATTGTTATCTTCAACTTTCAATATTTTCTTCCTAGCAATTTCTGCCTACAAAAAGTCAGTTTATTTGATTGTCAAACTGTTAAGTAGACGCTTTGTAATGCCCCCAGTGCGACGTCGTCGAAATTTTGTCCATATCAATGACTTTGATAGGAGCCGAATTATCGGTATGAAAGAGGCGGGTCTCTCATTCCGAGAGATTGGGAGAAGGCTGAATCGGGACCACATTACAGTTGCTCGGATATGGTCTTTATGGTCTGAAAAAGGTATTCAGAGGCACCGTCCTGCTGGAAGACCCGCCCGAAGAAGCAACGTACGTGAAGACCGACTCCTTAGGTGGATGGCTAGCAGGGATCGATTTCAAACAACAAGGTCGATTGCTGTGGATTGGACGAGAGCTTTGATCCGCCACTTGTCGATGGCAACTGTTTACAGAAGGATTTTTTTCCTTTGGGCTTCATTCATACCGTCCTTACCTTCGGCTTCCATTAACACCTCTCCAGAAAGCAGCCAGACTTGCATGGTGTCAAGAACGGCAAGGGTGGGTATCACTGAAATGACATCGCCTTCCGTGATGAATCAAAGTTTTGTTTATGGGTGAATGATGGTCGTAGAAGGGTGCGGCAACATTGAGGGGAAAGACGGAATTTGGAGTTCGTTCAAAGACGACACCTAACCTGTGTTAAGGAACACCTGAGGTTATGGTGTGGTGGGCGATATGTGCTGGACGAAGGTCATCCCTTACGTTCATTCCAGGCACATTTAACGCTCGTCGTTACATCGACAAGGTTCTGGAACCGGTGTTAGTACGTTTCATGTAGACGTTGCATAATGCCACTTTCCAATAGGATAATGCAAGACCCCATACTGCTGTGGTTACAAGAAGGTTCCTGGAGCAGGTTGGATTGCAGATTTTGTCCTGGCCTGCACGGTCACCGCACTTGTCGCCGATTGAACATGTCTGGGATATGATGGGTCGGCGACTAAGACAAGTACCCAGGCCTCCTGAGAATCTGGATGAACTTCGACACCATCTAGAGGTTGCATGGAACGAAATACCCTAGGAGGCCACTTAAACGACCACTTAATAGAGAGCATGGGTAGAAGAGTTAATGCAGGCATAGCTGCGCGTGGGGATGCAACCCACTACTAGTTTTTCTTGAAAATTGTTAATTTTTGTTTTATTTTTTCAACTAAACTTTCATCGTTTCTTAGTTGATAATAAAGCATTATTTTACCGAGGTTTCAAAATTGTACTCAAATTCTTAATTGGTGGTGTATTTCATGTGAAAGTGAGGGTGTATCAGGGGGTCCTATCGGACTCCACATAATAAAATAAAATTTTTTTGTTTTCGTTATGTAAAGTTGCCCTTGTATTTGGGAAAAATAATTGTTGAGTTTTTAATTTTAATTCGTCATTTCGTTATTAAAATATTAATTTTTTTGATGCGGATGCCATCTTCTTTGGATATGTTTCTTAAATTATATGGGCATTTCATTTCTATTAAGGAATTGTCGATATGAATTACCCCATCTGGACTTGCTCCTAAAAAATAAAACTCTCCTTGACCTACATATAAATCACATGGATCTACATGTAGACCAGAAATATTTTGAAAAGCATATAGAAACATATATTGGCAACCATAATCGGTGGATTTGTTTCCTCGAAAACTATTTCCGAATAGGTATTTTAAAAGTTTGTTCGGCGGTGTTGATAGATTTCTTTTGCAAACTACTCCAAAATTTGAAGCTGTTAATCTATACATATAATCTTTCTTGCTTTCAACAGGGATTACTATGTTGACCTCTAGTGCGTTCTTCTAGTTTATTTGCTTCTTCTTTTGTTTTTGTCAATTAATTAAATATTACTGCTTGTCTTCTATCAATTTCTTCTTGTGGTGGTAATTCCACAACATCTCCATAATCGCAGTCGGTATTTTATATGGGTTGCTTTATTATTTCCTCTAGTGTCCCTAAGTGTTTGTCAATTTCTTCTAAATACTGGACTCCATACCATAAAATAACATTTCTTCTTTTTTGTGACATCCATTTGCTCATGATTTGGTAGTAATATTTATATAGTGTCTTTAATTTGAATTAACCACTCTTAATTCTAACATATTAATTTTCTTGACCTGTATCCAGTCTGTGCGAGTCCAACCCAATTGGACTCGCACCCAAAAAGAAAAACTCCCCTTGACCAACATATAAACTACAAGTGTCTACATGTAGACCAGTAACAGCTTCAAACAACAGTAGGGAGTCGCTCTGCCACCAATTCCATTGCAATTAAAAAATTTCCATTACTATTTACTTACATTTCCTATTATCTCGTCACGACCTCGTAACGGAAGACCACGACTGGTTAGTTTTTTTCACAGTTGAAACTACTTTTCGTAATATTTCCCTCCAGTAGTTAATTTCCTCATCCATTTGCGAAAATAGCATTTCATTCATATTTTCAGTCTGTGATTCTCTCTATTTCAAATCCAACACTGATGACTTGTGCGAATGAGATGATTCGTGCTGCTCAACGCGAATATTTATATTTTTCTAATCGTCAAACCCAGTAGTTATAAAGTATGTATCCATTTTAAATAATCAACAATACAAGCGCCGTAAAACACTCGACCAGTACTTTCTGAGTATATCAACCAAGTTCTTTGCGTTTCTTCAACGTTTACTAATTTTCTAGTAAATATTCTTGCAAGGTTTAAATACTTTGCCTGATCAGGATAAATACGTTTCGATTTAGAAAAATTTATCTCTTTGTTTGGTTCAAAGCCATTACTTGCAAAATAATTGATGGTTGAATCATTTATATTCCATTTAACAGGATCTCTGTCCGGTTTTATAATATCCGCAGTAGTAACAAGATTTGAGGAACCGTTATTTTCAATGGCATTGCTAGACATTGCAGTTGATACTGATTCGTTCCTTCTTCTTCAACTGTTAGAGAAATTGCTCAATTCTATATTCTTAAATTCTAGTTTTACAACATGCACTTTCACAATTCACAACGTGTGATTTATTTCTTGAAAAAAATGAAATGTAATAAAATGTAAACACAAATCCCTATAATTTGTTTGCGATTTAATTACAGACACCTACTTGTACGTCGTGCTGATACTGCCTTGATGGTCTTCACTTCTGGTAAATCTCCGTACGATAATTGTTCTCGTTCCTTATGGTACGGTTTTGGTATATTCTTCAGTAGTGATTCGCAATTTCAATATATTACTCAGCAAAACTCTCTTTTTTCTAGTAAACACTACGTATTTAATGTTTTCGAGAATAAGTCTTAAAATCTTCTAAAACTTTGGTTTCTTTTAAATGCACTCCATATGCAATACGTAAATATGGATATGTACTTCCATTGTGTAGTAAAACTGCCTTTAAACTTACAATTAGTTAGTCAGAAAACTAAACTATCTTCCTGTGCCTAAACTATCGTCTCTCAAATCTAAATCCCTAACAAGATTGTTTAGCTGTGATTGATCAATCCAATGTGCTTCTACATTAGCTATAGTTGGATTTTGAAATATCTCTCCACTAGAACAAGCGGGTCCCGCTATTTTCCATAATAGATCTTGATGGACTTCAAAGATGGTTTTGGGTGTCGAAATTTCAGACGAATGAGATGGTGGCATTGACACTGATCGCACATCGCAATATTTTATGGAACTTTCAGGTTTCTTTTTAAAATAAAGCATTTGAAACCTCACTTAGAATTATTGCATCCATAGTAATTGTCGAAATGTTTTTTAACTCCATTATGTTTATTGTGCGACCCACTTTAATCGATAGTAATTACTAGTGGTGGAACGGATATCCGGCAACTATCCGGTAACCGGCCATTTTTTAAAATTCGGCCGAATACCGAATAGTTACCAAATATACGGCTTTGACCGGATATTAAAAACCTATTACTTACTACTCCAGCATTCACAGGAATTAGTATCTCTTTTAGGTGTTGGACACTGCAGATAATAATCAAGTTCAACCCCAATAAATTTTTTTTCATTGAATACAACTTTATTTATATCAGGTTTGTCTTTAGTAACCTCATTGTAACAATTCCAACACGATATATAAAATCTCTTGTTGCAGTTTCGTCTAGTTTCCGTCAAACTCCTCTTGTGTGTCCTCCTCTCTTTCTCTTCGCTTGTAATTCATTATCACATTCATTACTAACAGAACTGTCGCTGTTGTCACTCTTTCGATTATTAATTAAAGTATCCTCTTCTTAATGCAAAAAACCGTTTTGAAAAATCAATTTCTGTTCGTGAGAAATAAATTTTTGAAATGATCGACAATTTTTTCGTCTTGTGTCCTCTTTCCAATGAACCAACCCGTTTTGAAAAATAACTTTTAGTTTTTGAGAAAACAGTATTTGAAGGTTTGAAAAAATTTTCGATGTTGCAATTTTCATCAATAATTTTCAAAATTCGCTATAAAATTAATTTCCTGAAGGATCCCTGTGGAAATATCATCAATTATTAATTGAAGTATCCTCTTTTTAATGCAAAAAGCCGTTTTGAAAAATCACTTTTAGTTCTTGAGAAATAAATTTATAAAATAATCGACAGTTTTTTCGAATTTTGCAATTTTCGTCGATTAAGTTTTAAAAATTCGTAAAAAATCCATTTTTTGGAATATGAGTATGAAAACTTCCCAAAGTGTTAATAAGAGTGTCCTCTTTCCAATGAACCAACCCGTTTTGAAAAATAACTTTTAGTTTTTGGGAAAACAATATTTGAAGTTTTGATAAAATTTTCGATGTTGCAATTTTCATCAATAATTTTCAAAATTCGCTATAAAATTACTTTCCTGAAGGATCTCTGTGGAAATATCACCAATTATTAATTAAAGTATCCTCTGTTTAATGCAACAAGCCGTTTTGAAATATCGCTTTTATTTTTCCCTCAAAATTGGGATCGGTTGTACGAATTCTTTTATTATTTTAAAGAAAGAAACGACCATTGTTAGTAATTTAGGTTTGTATCAAAAGATTTAATATTTTTATTTTCAAGCAAAATATCTATTTCTACAATAAATAACAATAGATCCTTTTAAAAAATCTACCTCTAGAAAAATATTTTCTAATCACAGTGTGAAAAAAACGTCTTTTTTAACATACACCACTTATTATTCTTAAAAATTCCTTAATAAAGCTTCAATTTAAAAAGAAAATCACAATCGCCTTAAAAATTAGTTATGATTATACTTTATAATTAAAAAAAAAGATCAACATAATCGTCAAATTTTTTTTTTAATCCCATTGTCTTCCTCTGTTCTCTCATTTTCATGAGGAATAGTATCTCCATCTTGATTATCTATATTTATCTCTTTATCATTAATCTTAGTGATAATTTTTCCTCCTGTATAACCAACAATTCCACAACTGATTGCAGCTAAACCTCCAATTTTTGCTCCAGCTATCAAACCAAGTGGGCCACCAACTAATCCACCAATTAAGGCACCAGTTACTGGATATGTCGCTGTTTTTAATCTAAAATTATATTTATAATAAAAAGGATCAAAATTAACAAATTATGTAGGTACTTAGAGGCACTTATTAAATGTGATAATCCTCTATTAACATTTGTTTGTGTCTCCTCAACGTTTTCCTCAATCTTATTTACATCCTCTTTTTGAACATTAACCATGGTGTTTAATTCTTGATAAATTTCATGTAATCCTTTGACATCATGATTTAAATTTTCTACCCTCTCCAAAGTACTACTAGCTTGTTGTAGTCTCAATTTCTCTAAATTGTCATGAATTTGGATTTGCTCAGCACCCAAAAAAGGGTTTTCATTTTCTGTGTTTTCATTAATTTCATTTTGGGAGTCTGTGTAAGCCAAGGCCGATTTTTCCAAATTGTAATAATCTTTTAGTATAGCCGAGATGGATCTCCTCAATGAAAACGTTCTATTATCGAATTTATCAAGGTCGTCATCAAAAACTTTAGCCCGTAACGTATCTAATTCATATAAAAGATCTTTCATTTGACGAACGTTTCGTTTCTTGTCTTTTATTTCTTGAGATAACTTTTGAGTGTTCTTTTGAAACATGTACTAAAATAGAAAAGACAATTACAATATTTCTCTTTGTGTTTTTGAATAAACTTACTGTTTCAATTGCATTTTTATGGTGTTGTAGTAAATTTTGGTGATATGGTAAGGCTTCATCTTGAAACTTTTGCAAAGGAATTTCAATGTATTTAAAGGGCTCTTTCAACCCCGGAGATGTATTTGTGGTCATTGTATCTAAGTTATTGTTGCACGCATAATTTTGATATAAACAATATTGATTAACCAACGTAAACAACCTTTGTTGTGATAAAAAATGTAACGCTTTTAGATTTATTTTAAAGAAATCTGTGGGTTGTCATTTTTGACATTTTGTAATGACAGATTGAGTAATTTCGATTGTCATTAATAGATGGCTGCAAAATTTTATTTATAACAATTAAAATATAAATTAATTATTAATAAATAATCAATATTAATTGTTTTCTTTAATAAAATGAGGGTTTAAGCGGATACAAATTAATATTAGTCTTTTAATTAAGTTACTTATATCAAGTAATAAGTGATATATTATTAAATCATCTAATTTTCAAATTAACATAAGAGTTTAATTGTGATTTAATTTAAATTTTTTAACTTTAATAATTAAAATCGTATTTCTTATTTTAAAGGAAATTTGTATTTCCCTTAAAGTTGTATAATTGATTCTGATAGTAAATAAAAGATGGCGCTTGATACACTAAAATCAGAATAAAATCTTATTATAAATTGTAATAATATAATACGTAATTATTAATTTACCTAACAATAAAGATTTTTTTTTAATATGGGTTTATCATAAGAAATATAAATCAATTATAATTTATGAAATTATTATTATTATTATTTATGTTGGTCACATTGGCATTTGACATTATTTTTTAAGTTAAATGTCATTTTGGTGTCACCATATAGAAATTAAAGATTTTGAGGAGTTTAAGGTACGTATTTGCATTTCGTTTTTGTATTTATTGAATTTTAGACCTTTAAATGATTTGATGTTGTAATTTTTAGCTACATTACATCTTTGAAATCACCGTTTTCACCTTCACCGATCGCAGTTATCTTATAATTATAAACATTTATGATTAAAGATAATTGATGAATGATTTCTGTTTTAATAACACGTTTGTATGAACGATACATTTTATTTTTCAAGGCGTTCAAAAAACCTGAATATAAAAAAAAATACGTTTGGTGCGTTTGTTATTACAAGCACGATATCGGTAGCTTTTTGTCGATGATCGAACAAAGGTGTTTACCGAGAAAAAGGTTGAGTACGTGTAAACATTATCATTGAATCGGCGATAAATAAGCGGTCTCAAAGAAAAAAAGAACGAACCCGACCGCCCAATGATTGTCGTTCACATAGCTCCCGGTGAAAACGTAAAAATACCCTCCTCAGCGAGACATGAACGGGGCTCAACGCAAGATCGTCTTGTCCATCGTTGAAACGTGTGCAGTCGTTCGACCGGAAAGGTTTTCTTTTTTTCTGTTTTTGCGAGTTCTGTAAAAAAGGACGTTTCATTTGCGCCGTTGTGGCGGTGCTATAAAATAAATCTAAGCCGACGCATATCGACTGCACAAATTTCTAGTATAAAAAGTCGCCTAATTTGGTGCTCGGAAGAGACGAAGCGATACAAAAATAGAGAGGCGATCGCGTATCAGGTGTCTTACTACTCCGTATTCTACAAACTTCACGCGCTTTTTTCCTCACGATTCTCAACGATAATGCCTTTTCGGTAAATACTGGCTCTGGACGCAAATAAAATACTTATGGTTTCTCGGGGAATACCAAAGAATGTAACTTGTAATCGTAAATTTTGAAACTTGACTAAAAGTATTACCTTTTAGGAGTAAGTTTTTGTATTATTCCACTTACTCACTTTCATCACGGTTTTTGTATTAGCTTTGTAAATAGCCTAAATATTTTTTGTGAAACCACGACCAGTTATTAATTTTCAAAGCGAGAAATATTTAGAAAAAAATCTCATTTGTAAAGCCTATAATTAAAATTTGTATGATATTGGTGCAAAATATGGAGCGTATCTAAACCAACGTAACTAATGTAAAAATATTTTTACTATATAGCATTCCTCTCACGAACGTCCGACATCAAATTACGGACGCGCCGAAGGGGAATTCGTGGCATCCAAAGTGAATGGTGGCAAATGGTTTTTCTATATATCTAATATCGTGCTCGAACCCGCGATAACCGTTTAGGAGCAAACGCGGTCGGGATTCTTCACGGTGTTTTGTCGGCGCTCCTCCGCCGTTATAACTTATCAAAACAAACGGCTGTTATTTATACGGACGTCGCCGTCGGTACACATTTAAAACGGCTCCGAACGTCCATTTGATTGAGTTACGGTGGAAGGACTTAGATTAATGCCCTAGCTCGCGACGTACCAAGTAAAAGCGCTCGCGATTATTGTCCGTTTGATTTAATTATGGCAAATTTATCATTTCAAAGTAAGGTGATAACGTGGGTATAAATTTCTTAGAGAAATTACCTCGGATCAATCGTTATTTATTATAACAACACCAATCTGTATTTTATTCCTTATGGAAACTTGAGAATCTTAGAATGTAATTAATTGTTTTTGAACAGTTACTGCAAGTTTTACTTGACACGAAGGCTGTAATTTTGAATTTCAGCTTTATGAAATAAACTGTGTTACTTCGGTTGTTTAGTTAGATATTTAGATTAACTCTTTGAACTGTGATTTGCTTCATAGTCATTAATTATATTAAAATAATAAATAAAATATTGCACAAATTGCAAATTGTACGGTACAAACATACATTTCCATCTGATCAGTTATTTATCTATTGTACAAAGAGATTATGATGTACAATATGTACATATATGCTACAATATAAAATATACCCCAGATTTCCTTAATAGGAGCAAATTTATTCTCGTGGCCTAACTCTAGTGTTTTTGTTATGATAACGTAAAAAAGTAGATAAAAGTTTAAAGGGTTTTAAACACTTGAAGATATATAAGAAGCTTTTCGACCATATATTTTCGGTATTTGCACATACAGTATAAGTAGAAGAAGGAAAACCAAGTACCTGGCATTCTTAGACCAGAGTGCAGCGTTCGATAGTATACCAGAGGTTCAAGGTACAAGTTGATTAAAGTTACAAGAGCGTTATACAACAGAACAACAGGAATAGTCAGAATAAGGAGGGCAGAGTCTAAAAGTTTCAATATGGAAAAAGGAACCAAACAGGGAGACTCTCTTATCCTCCTCCTGTTTGTTATGGTTATGAATCAAATCTTAAAGAAAAGTGAAGAGAATGCACTGAACCTAAAACTCGGACATAGGAGAATGGAAGAAATAAGCCTTTAAAGTCTTGTGTATCCAGATGATATAATATTACTGACGGACATAGTGAGAAAGTTACAAGTCGCAATCAACAAATGGAATGATCAATGTACAAAGTGCAAAAAGGAAATAAACGCAAAGAAAAGTATAATAATGAAGGTTGATGACAGGAACAATAGATCAGGAAATAAGAAACAAAATATCCAAAGCAACAAAAGTGTATTGCCAGATTAACACAACATTAATAAATAAAAAAGAGCTGAGCAGAGAAACAAAGATGTACCTGTACAAAGCAGTAGTGCCAATATTGATGTGTATAGCAGAAATTTGGCCAATATAGGACAGGATAAGCACAAAAGCAAAGTAACAGCTGCAGAAATGAAGTACCTAAGGCGAAATAAGCAAGAGAAGAACTACGGACACATTTTTTCTAGTTGATCGAAAAATTGTTGTTACTGCTTCAGGTGTTAGGTGCCTTAGATTAAAACTATAGGACTTACGTTATTTTACATGTGACTCATTATTGAGTCACTTGATCCGAATTAAAATTTAGGTTATGATAATTATATCATTTATAATTTCAGAATGATGACAAGAAGCGCGAAAATTCTAAAATTGGTTTTAGATACACATATATTAGTAACTGTGATAGCAATGATAATTTCACGATCAATCCTTGCATCGGTGATAATACGGCAAAATTAATACAAATTTCTGAAAATAGAATAGACGATTTAGAAATCACATTTCAGGACGATCCAATATTATCCAGAATGATTAATAATGATTTAAAGGTTGCCCAAGTTCCTGAGTGGTACAACGTTTCTCATATGTCATATAATTTTGTCATAATAACTGTCTTAAAAAATATAAGGAATCAATCAATTTAGGTCTAGACGGTAATAACAATGCCCCATCAAAAACTACAACCAGGAAGAGGAAAATAATTGGCACAAAAATCAGAGTAATGTGATCTGAAATGGACAAGTGATGATACTGCTTCAGAAATTGTAAATATTGAAGATGAAAACCAGAAAACACTACATGAATCGGAAACGGTAGTTCTTGTCCAAGTCAACGGAAATGAAACCAGGAGGAAACGACTTCATGTAAACCGGAAAATTAAACTAAAAATCCACAACATCGAGATAGACCGTTTTCGGCGACATTGTCCTCATCCAACCATTAATAGCTAAATACCAGCAGCAGAAAGGAGTACACAAAGGTGTAGGACCTACACAATTTTTCAATGTCAGAAACATTATACGTAACAAAGTGTATTTAAAATTGGCATCTACAATAATGACAAAATATTTAGTTATCAAACTTCATAAACTCTTGCGAGTTTAATTATGAATATAAATGTCATCCAGATTCAGTGGATAACCATAAACTTGGAATGTCAAGAAGTGGCATTTAGTAGGATTTAAAGTCATATAAATATTATCATTTCAATATTTAATGTAAGTTAGATGTGTGGAAGTCGTACTGGAAGCGACACCACTTGTAGTACAACTAATTAGTAGAACAGTATAATCAACACATGACGGCATGTCAGCATCCACGATCTTATGATTAAACAAATCATTAATATGCAACAGTAAGAGTAGGGACAAGTACTAAACACTGGGGAATTCTTTCGATATATTTCAAGTAGTGGAGAATAGTTTATTTATTGCAATAATTTTACAAAAAATCTGATCGGATTAGACATACAATACAGCATAACTTATTTGCTACTTGAATGTTTTATTTCTTTAATTTTTGCAATAATTAGCCACTGTAGCATTATACACAGTTCAGGAATGGTGGAAATGGTTCTTATCAACAGGCATTAACAGATTATGCAACCTCAGCTAGCTAAACTGATAGGCAGGATGCTATCCAAAATTTATTTCCATCCGTATCGAGTGATTGATGAAAATCGAATGATTTAGTCAGACGGTGATTTTCTCAGCAATTCTGTATTTTCGA